CCTAGGGTACTATCAACTAATTGAGAACAATCTAGTGTACAGACACCAGTGCAACCAAGCCCCTCAAGAAGCTGTCAAGGAACTAAAACACAATCCAAGGGCTTATGTGTACAGGTCTGAGACCCTGTCTTCAACTGCTACAGGTTGTGTAAATGCCACATGCCATGGTGTCTTGGGGAGAAGGGCAGTAAATCAAAGACTCTGCCCTGGAGGACATTTTCTTTTCATTGACACGTTTTGTTTTGTATTGTTTTCTTTTCCCTTGATAATCAGTAGGATGTTATAAGCAAGAATAAAAGTTATTCAAAACAAGAAAACCCTACATTTCTCTTTATAAATATTAGTGTGTTAGTTAATTAACAGCTCTATTGAGGTGTAACTAATATATAATAAACTGCATCAATTTAAATTGATAAGTTTTAACATAGATCTACACCTGAAAAACTGTGCCTCTCATGCTCCTTGGCAGTCCCTCCCTTCTTTCACCCCTCTTCATGTCCATCCTCAGGCAGCTGTTTATCTGCCTTCTGTCACTGAACATTAGTTTCCATTTTCTAGAGCTTAAATAAGTAAAATTATACAGGACATATTCTTTTTTTTCTGGCTTCTGACATTCAGTATGACTATTTTGAATTTCATCCGTGTTATTGCTTGTATCAGTAGTTCATTTTTTATTGCTGAGTTGGATTTCATTGTATGGTTATGCCATAATTTGTTTATCCATTCATCTATTTATGAAAATTTGGGTTGTTTTCAGTTTTTGGCTATTAAAAATAAAGCTGTGTATGAGAATCCACATCGTAGCACATCTTCACTAACACTTGTGGTGGTGGTAAAATCTTTTTCATTCTAGCTATCCTCATCAGTATGTAGCAGTATCTCTTTGTGTTTTTCTTTGTATTTCCGTAATTACTAATGATTTTGACCATACTTTTATGTTCTTTCTGTGTCTCTTACTTAGTCAGGTGTGTTTTTTAATCTTTTGCTCGTTTTTTTATTGGGCTTATTGTCTTCCAATTACTGAGTTTTAAGAGTTCTGTATATATTTGCATACAAGTCCTTTATTATGTGACTTTTAAATATTTTCTTCTTGTCTATAGCTTTTCATTCAATTAAAATTATATTTTGAAAACCAGAAGTAGCTAAGAAATGTTTGCTTAGCTACCTAAGAAGGTTTCTAAGACATATCTATGAAATAGCTAAGAAATCTCTGCCTAACCCAAGGTCACAAAGACTTTTATCCTGTGTTTTCTTTGAAAATTTTTATAGTAGGGAGAGGAGTGACCTCTGAAAACTCAAGGTGGTGAAAATAAAGTATTTCTTTGTAGCCAGCCTGTTACTGCCATGAAATATATTTCAAGGCTTTAGCCTCCCACTTGGTGCTCTTTGGGATGAAAACAAATTTAAGTATTTGCCCAAGAAAACAAAATTGATACGTTAAATAATTTTAAAGCTTCATCCAAAGATAAGCATATGTTAATTCAGTTATTTGAACTATCTTGGCTTTCTACTTCTTCCACTGTAATTTCAGTGGATAACTGAAAGTTGAATATACATATTTCAGTAATGTAACTGAAAGATAATGTTTTGTTTTAGTTAAAATTTGGGGAACAAAAAATTTATACTGGATTTAATTCATTCATCCAACATATTTATGTATACCTACTATGCCAAGCACTGTATTAGGAGCTTTTATTCATTTTCATCTATAAATTTTCTTATTTAATCTTTCTAATATTAAACTGTGTGCTTTTAGCAAAAGGAACTTTAAAGGTTAAAAGTTGTCAAATTCTCACTGTTAGTAAGAGAGAGATGCCTCTGAGAATCTGTAATCTAGTTTGAAGAGTCAAGTACCTTGACAACAATACCCTCAGATAAATGCCATTATAGACACTGGTTAGCCTATGTGGCTCCCCTAGGGAACCTCTGAGAAGGCTTTTAAAGAATGAATATAACTTTAACAGGTAAATACTGGGCTGTGGTAAGGGGAGGAGGTAGAATAGAAACTCAAAGTAGAGGGGAAATTTTTCACAGAGGCACATTGGCTAAAGAATGCCTGGTGTGGTCATGGAACAGCAAGTTGCTGTGATTTTTTATTAGGGGATAGGATGGTAGGAGATAGCAGCATGTGACAGGCTTGGAAGCAAGAAGAGATATACTATAACAGGCAACAGAGCCAAAACAGGATTTTGACCAGGAGGAAAGCTAAATCAGAAGTGGGTTTTAAAAAATATTTTTGCCATTCTTATCTACCCAGCAGTCTAGGTAGAAGGAGGAGAAGGATTGGAGGCAGGGAGGCTGGGGAAGCTGGCGAGACCTGGGCAGGACTGGAAATTGACCAGGGGAGGGGGAATTTCACTTTCCATCCAAAAGTTCTCTCCTAAGCTCTCTTGGTACTCTTTCCTTGAATAATAATGTAGATTCAGCTAACTGCTTGATTTGAAAAGTTTTTTTTTTTTTTTTTGGTTGGTTGGTTAACTTGTTCTTTATCTGGCAACTAAAAAGGGCCTCCTTTTGTGCAGCAAAAAGATATAACCCAAGATGCTCCAGGAAAGTCAACTGAGTTATGATGTAAAGAATGGATTTGAGGGAGGCTAATTAGTCCTCACCCAGGTACTAGGCAATAGGGAATGGACACAACACTACTGATCGATAGGAGATCTGGAAAGAACGAGATCAGTCGAATTTGATTGGATGGGTTGCTTAATCATGACTCCCCAATTTTAAAATCAAGTGTCTGGAAAACTGATGGTTTTCCTGTAGGAAATAAGACAATGATTTAGGAAGAGAGATAGTATGCTTATTTTAAATAGGGTTTAATTGGAAGACCTTACAATTCAAAAGATAGTCCACACAATAGGACTTTCATGAGGAAATATCTAAAAGCTGTTCAAAGGCCAGAGATAGTATTCATAAAAGAAGAAAGGGCTGAAAATAATATTTAAACATTGTCCACATGGAGATACAGCCATGTGTGGTTGTCTGTGCTGAGGGATAACATGGTGGCAAATGGATGGTGACCAAGGGCAGACTTTTGAGGAAATACAGCAGGAGAAGAAGACCCATCCAGAGAGACAGAAAGGACATAAGGCAAGAGAAGTAGGATACGTAGAGTTGCAGGAGTAAATGGAAGACAGGTGGAATTGGTGAAATGCAGCAGACTTGCCAATGAGGATGTGGATGCAGGGGCTGTGTTTGATGATAAGGGATCAGTTCCTGTAGGCAGGCTTTCCACCTTCTCCCTCCTGCCCCACTCCAGGCCATCAGGGACTTTACTTTCTCTCTTGCTGCTTCACCTGAGCAGAGATAACATTAATAATGGGTTAGCCACCAGTTTATCCTTTGGATCAAATATTTTCTAAAAGCAAGAACTGTTGTGCATCATCCCGCAAGGTGATACAGGATGGGGATTCGGGGGAAAATTAACATGCCCCCTGACAGACCACAGTGTCCGGAGAGTGAAACTGTGAGGTATTATGGAACAGGAAGATAGTAAGAAATTAAAGCAGCACCTGAATATAGGAGAAGGCAGGCAGGGAGTTATGAGAAGATTCCATTGAGAGAGAAACAGAAAGAAAAAAATGTTTAATTACATGGTAAGAGAGATTAGTCAATGTCTGTAAACTGCAGTGAAAGCCAACAGTAAGGAGGGGATGACAAAGCAAGAGGCGATGGTTAACTTCTGATGGAATGAGTGAGAAGGGACTAGTTAAATGCAATGGTGGGGTTAACCTCTGACAGAGGGTGGGGTATGAGAGAAGGTGCAGAGAAATGGAGAGGTGAGAGAGGTAGGAATAGTGAATGGAATGGACTATGAAAGAAGGAAGTCATGGCCTAATGGGAAACAAAAAACCCCACCAACTTTCAAGTTCTGCTACTGACATTTTATCAGTTGTGTGACCTGTGGCAAGTGACTTAACATTTTTTTTTTAAAGCTTCAACTTCCCTTTTGGTAAAAATGGTGCTGCTACCTTCCAACTCCAAAACCAGGTGCTATTTTCCCACTTAATTGCAAGTGCCTTTTTGGCTGTTTTTGTTTTAATGTTTCCCTTTCTGGGCAGAGCAGCTGGAAGATGGGCTGGATCTTACTAGCAAAGCAGGAGGGTGGGTCATCTGAGTACGGGAACAGTGATGCCATAAGCCTGAGAGATCACGAAGAGGTTTTAACAGTGCTAAGCATAGGCTAAGGAAATTAACACAACGTGAATAAAGATTTGCAGGCCCCCGTAAGGGCTCAAGGGAGATTAGAGGGCAGGGAGGCCTGATCGAAGAGGAATCGGGCCCCTAGCTGAAAAAATCGGGAGGTGTGGTACAAATTTTGTTTTAATTTTATTTATTTTTGAGACAGGATCTCGCTCTCATCCAGGCTGGAGTGTAGTCGTGCAATCTCAGCTCATTGCAGCCTCGACCTCCTAGGCTCAAGCGATCCTCCCATCTCAGCCGCCAGGACCACAGGCCCGCGCCACCACGCCCAACTGATTTTTGTATTTTTAATAGAGACGCGGTTTTGCTACGTTGCCCAGGTTGGTCTTGAACTCCTGGGCTCAAGGGATCCTCCCGCCTGGACCTCGCACAATACTGGGATTACAGGCATTAGCCACCGCGCCCGGCAAAAGCTTCATGGCTGAACCCGCTCACAGTTGTGAGCGTTGAGCTGAGCCCAACCTGGAATCCACGCATCTCGGGATGCTTTGGGATGGGCTTCAGCGGGTTCAAAAGGCCCGGAAATCGCCTAGAGGTATCAATTTCCACAAGGCTTGCAACGAGCTCTCAACACAAAGATTAGGAACCTGTAACCAAGGCCTGGTAAGCCCATTGGGAACGCGAGCCGCCTCCCAGCCTTGCGCCCGGCTGTGCTCTCGCAGTGCTGCAGAAACTTCAGGAACTTCGCTTTCATCTCTTGCCCAACGTAAGTCCTCTGGCTTTTTCATTTTGTAAATTGCTGAGTGTGGCGAGGCCCCGCCCTTCCGCGCCCGGCCGCGGGGCCGCCCCTGCCTCCTCCCCGGCGGGTGCTCCTTCCCGGACCGCTCTGGAAACCCTGGCGGCGGCGGCCCATGGGGCCCTTGGCGCTGCCCGCCTGGCTGCAGCCCAGGTAGGGCGCTCCGCCGAATCCTGAGGGGAGTGGGCGTGGGTGGACGGCCTGGGGGCTGGGGCTCCCCTCTGCTGCGGGCGGGGGGCGTTACCGACCCGCGCGGCGCGGCGCTACAGTGCCCAGGCACCCCTTGGATCTCGTGCAGGTATTTGCTAATTTACGTTTCTTGACCACCCTAGGAAGCAGGCTCTGTTGCTTTCTCCATTTCACAGATGTAGAAATGGGAAGGACAGGCCGCGTTGCCACCCCTGCCCTTGTGAGCCCTCTGCCAGTCCTTCCCTCCCCCACCCGGAGCCCTTCCCTTAACTTTCTCAGAAGCAGAGTTGCAGGGTGACTTTTACATCTAGCAGCCCTGGAAACACCTATCACATGCATAGATCCCAGGGCCCAGTTTTGGGAGGAGCAGATTCGGTCGTACAGCTGTAGGGCCTGGGAGTGTATGTTTAACCCCCAAGCCAGGTGATTCTGATACAGGCTGAAGGAGGATTTCCTCTTCCTAGACCCTTTAGCAGTTCCTGTCTCATGGGGTTGGGGGGTGTCCCGAGATAAAATTATTCTGCCTCCCAGCTTACTTTCCTTGTTTCTCGGAGGTTTCACATCTCCAAGGAGGAGTAAATCTTGAACACACTGGCAGGGCCACTCCCGTCCCCCTTCTGAACTCCCAGAGAACACTTTGAACCGTGCTCTTCCTAACTCCCTCAAACCATGTCAATCTTCTCTTAGTCATCTCCCCAGCGGCTCACAACACATTTTTAAACCCAGCTTGACTTCCTTTTTCTGGTATGAGCGAGTAAACTGCTTTCTATGTGTATCTGATGAAGGAAACTATCTGCCCTTGCAAAATACTAATAGGAGGCAGTGGCAAGATGTTAATACTAACCCCAGTCACTAATTCGTTCAAAACTCAGGTGTGTCCAGTTACCAAATTACCCAACATTTGGGAATGCTCCCATCCCTACCCCACTTCAGAACTACAACACTGTGTCTCAGGTTCTGCACTTAGCAAGCCGAGCTACTGGAACACATAGTGACCCATCAACCCCTCTGCACACATGGGTTTTGTTGTTGTTGTTTTATTTATATTTTTTATTTATTTTTGACACAGAGTCTCAGTTGCCCCAGCTGGAGTTCAATGGCACTATCCTCAGCTCACTGGAGCATCTGCCCCTCAGGTTCAAGTGATTGTCCTGCGTCAGCCTCCCTAGTAGCTGGGTCGCTGGGATTACAGGCATGCACTACCACATCAGGATCTGGCTTTTTGTTTTTGTTTTTTTGTTTTTTGTTTTTGGTAGATAGATACAGGTTTTGCCATGTTGGCTAGGCTCGTCTTGAACTTCTGGCCTCAAGTGATCCAGTCCTCTTTGGCCTCCCAGAGTGCTGGGATTACATGCTTGAGCCACTGCATCCAGCATCTTTTGTTTTTTTTTTTAAAAGAATATTCAAAGTCACCTTTGCAGTGGTTTCTTTTATTCCTTGGTGAGCAGTAAGGTTAGAACTTAATGAAAGATGAAAGCAGAATTTGACAAAGGACTATATTTGATTTTAAGCAAACTCACTATATAGATGGTTCATGATTCATGATGGTTCAACTTACAATTTTTTAAACTTTGTGATGGTGTGCAAATAATATACATTCATTAGAAACTGTACTTCAAATTTTAAATTTTCATCTTTCCCCATGCTAGTGATGAGCAGGTATGAGACTCTTTCATGATGCTGGGGCTGCAGCTCCCAGGTGGCCACGTGATCAGGAAGGTAAAAAGCAGTACCCCAACAGTGTACTGTGTTGCCAAATTATTCTGCCCAGCTGTAAGCTAATGTGGGTGTTCTGAGCAACTTTAAACTAGTCTAAGCTGTGATGTTCTGTAGGTCAGGTGTGTTAAATGCATTTTCAACTTACTGTGTTTTCATTTTATGATATTTTTAGTTGATGGGTTTACCAGGACATCACTTCATCATAACTGAGGAGGTTCCTGCACTTACTTTAGCAGGTAGTGTAGGCTATGGCTCCCTTCAAAATCTGATGTGTACTTGGGGTTACCCAGATTATAGACTGAAATGGAAGAGTTTTCTTTTGCTTGCTCGGGTTGGCCAGTACATTGAAGTACATGTGTATAGTGCTGAAAGGATTATTATAAAATAAGTGTGTAATGGTATTTTCCTGTATTTATAGGTATAGGAAGAATGCCTATCTTTTCATCTATTACTTAATCCAGTTCTGTGGCCACTCTTGGATATTTACAAATATGACAGTCAGATTCTTTTCATTTGGAAAAGGTAAAACTCCAAAACAGTTTTTGATTTTTAGCTTTTGATCCTTGTTTTCACCTCATCTTGCTTACATTTTCAACACACCTCACTTACTATCCTTCTCTAAAATTTATATTTTTCAGCAACCATATTTATTGCAAAACCTTTTTGGAGAAGGGAGAAGGTGAGATAAGTAAAGGATAGGGATTTGGTTTCCCCCTGAGTAGGCAGTTTTCCTGAAAACAGAAATGGATGGCATTGGGGTGGTGTCATTTAATTGTTCCCTTTCCAGTCTGTACCAAACCTCAGCAGATTTCTTGTGTTTTGAGGAAATCTCAGTGTAACATTTTTATGTGGAGAAATTGGGAATGAATCAGATTTTTCCAGTGTTTGTATTGTTCCCAGGTTTGAGGTAACTGGAGACTGCTAGTGAATGAAATACACATTTTATATTTCCCATGCCTTTACTAGGGCCCTTTAAGAAGTAATATGTAAATGACACACTGAGTAGATGGCCAGCCACTTACATGGGAGTCAGCATTAATGGCTTAAGTCATAAACTTCCTCTAGTTTCCTAAAAAGTAAAGTCACTGTTGGTTGACTACATGACTGTCAAAATAACATTCTCTTCATGTTCCATCCGCACATGAGTAAGTGTCATCACAGTTTACAACTGTTGAGTGACTTGACAATCTGAGCAACTGCTGGCTTCAGCTAAAAACAAATGTGTAGAATGTATCTGGGAAAAGTCATGCTGTGCTCATCATTTCAGACCTGTGTATCATAAGGAAGTTATTCTACTTGCAAGGTCCCATAAGCTATTTTATGTTGCTACTTCTTACTAAAAATCTACAGATAAATTCTCGCCTTTGTTAAAAACCTCCAAAGATACAACCTGAGGCTTGAGTTTCAGCTACAAATGTTGAGAGTTTTCAAGCAGTGGAAGACACAGGTGATGAGAAAACTTCTTGTATATTTTTATTAAAAAACCATCACTTCTAGTCCTTTAAGGTTTGCTGAGACAGTGCAGGCATATTAACATGTCATTGGCAACACAAGCCATGAACTCTCTTACGCTGCCTTACCTTTCCAGTGAGACAGGTTACCTTAGTGGTGTATCTCCTCTCTCCCTCTGTCTCTCTCCCTCTGTTCTCTCTCCCTCTGTTCTCTCTCCCTCTGTTCTCTCTCCCTCTGTTCTCTCTCCCTCTGTTCTCTCTCCCTCTCTGTTCTCTCTCCCTCTGTCTCTCTTTCTTTTTCTCTTTCTCTCTCTCTCTTTTCTGTCTCTCTCTCTCGCTCTCTCTCTTTCTCTCCCCGCCCCCTGCCCCTGCCACCGCCTTTCTTTCTTTCTGATGGAGTTTCCCTCTTGTCTCTCAGGCTGGAGTGCAATGGTGCGATCTTGGCTCACTGCAGCCTCTATCTCATGGGTTCAAGAAATTTTCCTGCCTCAGCTTCCCGAGTAGCTGGGATTACTGGCACCTGTCACCATGCCCAGCTAATTTTTGTATTTTCAGTAGAGACGGGGTTTCACTGCATTGGTTAGGCTGGTATGGAACTCCTCACCTCAGGTGATCCGCCAGCCTTGACCTCCCAAAGTGCTGGGTTCACAGGCATGAGCCACCTTGCCAGCCCAGCGCATTTCTTTATTATTATCCTGCCGTTATAGTTGTAGAAGCTACTTATTATATAATCACAACAGATTCGTTCAAGAGACAAACTGAAGACAAGTGTGGCTTCAGTACAATTCCTGAATCAGTGTATAAATTATGTAAGTAACTCAACAGAAACCTGAAACCGTGAATGTGTTATACCTGCACTTCTTCCTTCGCAGAACTGTGTAATTCATAATACTCTGGCAGCAAGTTCAGGGCAGTAGATGAGAGCATGGACTGTGTGCTTTAGGAATCGACTCTGAAATGGGGATAATAGCGTCCATGTTGTGGAGCTGCTGAGAAGAGAAATCCTTAGTCAGTGCTCAATAAATTATTACTGCGTGAATCATCACTGGGCAGTAAAGAGAGCAAAATCATCTTTAAGAGTTTCTAAACATGGCAGGATTCCATTTTAAAACTTGAAGCAACGAATTTATCCTATGTAGAGGAACATTTGTTTTCCTTCCATTTCAGCTCCCTGAGTGCACAGTATTTCATTTGAACCCTCTGTAATGCAAACTCCAAAAGTCCTGCTCGGAGGCCCAAGTTCCAGTGTTTAACAAAACCCAGAAAAGCACTAACCAAATATGTATAGAAACAAAATTCCAGATACATATGTTCTTTGATATCATGACTTTAATAGTGTCATTTCCATAAACCACCTCTGAAATCATATTTTTTCTCATCTTTGTCATTTTCTTGTCGGTGGAGAAGCTGTGAGCACAGTAGTGTCTTTAACAAGCTTGTTTCTATTTATGCTTGAGGTGGTCTAGATTCTAGGAGGTTACTCTTATGTGGGATTGCTTTATAATCTTAAAAGTGGGGAGTAACTACTGCATGCACATTTAGCCATGAAATCTTTCTCAAGGTTTTTAATTCTTTTTGGAACAGAAGCAATTAAAGTATACTACATTATGAAATGCTTTTTAAAATTTGCATTGTATTAATAATTTAGTAGCCTACTTAAGGAATTTTTCACATGTACAGTGAAAAAGGAAGTGAATAATCTCCATTTGATTTCAAAGTGCTGCATACATTTGGGTTATAATCTAGTTTTTACTTACTATTTCTGCATTTTTAACCCACTGGACACAGATTCGATGGTTGACACTTTTTATGCTATTGGATTTGTGATGCGACTTTGCCAATCCGTTTCTCTCCTGGAATTGCTGCACATATATGTTGGCATTGAGTATAACCATCTTCTCCCAAGGTTTTTGCAGGTAGGTTTAAATCACATTATTATTATTTATAGAATCTGTTTTGTATTTACATTTTTTCTATTTACAGCTTCTCTTGACGTTATGACAGTTAAAAATCCAACCCTTACCTTAGGTCACTGATAAGAAGAAGTGAGTTCACGGAAGGACAACCTTATTCTAAAACTGCACAATTAGAATAACAGTTGGGAACATTCAGGGCAGTGAGGCTTGCTGACCATGCTGCACTGCATTGACCCTATCCTGGAAGGAGATTTCATAGCCACTTCCCACCTTCACTATGTCACTGCCTGGGGTAGAAGAAGACAATAAGGCATAGGATTGGAGACTTGGGTTTGAGGCTGGGCTTTGCTGCTTACCACTATGGGATCATACCACCCACAACCATTGGGCTGTTGAGGGAAAGGACAACACAGATAATGGCCGGCAAAAAGTAGATGATTAAAAAACAAAAAGTTCCCTTCGTCTCTGTCCAGACAATAGAGTACTCCTAGGCCATTTCTTGTTCATTCACCCTCTTTTATTACACATCAATAGAAAGGGGAGATCATTGGTGTTTATCTAGTATAGCATCTAAGCATAGATGTGGGGGTCACACAGACCTGGATTCAAATCCCAGTTCTGCTTTGCACTAGTTGTGTACATTTAAACAAGTCATTTAATAATTCTGAACTTCAGTTTCTCATGTGATACGAAAATAACATGTATCTTATTAAGTAACTGAGAAAATGGATAAGTTCTTGGCACTTAGTTAAGAATATAATACTTAGTAGCTATTACTGTTTTCTTTTTAATTGCATTTTAGGTTTTGGGCTATTACTATTTTCTTAGCTTTTTTTTGTTCCCTATTCCATGCCTCTAGCCCTAGATTATGATGTTCTTTGAAAAGGCAGGTTGAAGGAAGATGGGAAATTTGCAAGTAGTGACTCCAGGTAGAAAACCATTGCTGGATAAAGACAAAAAATAAAAATAAAGATTTTCTTTAGATTTTAAACTCATGTTCATATAGTTGTCCTTTCTTATGGGACAGTAAAGGTTAGGCAATTATATGAACATGTGTTTAAAGTCTACAGAAATAGTTATCTACATGAGTATAATTTTAGGTATCTCCAAAATAAATTTGAAAAATGGATAATTTTGACAATTTTACATTGTTAAAGCAGTATATGTCAGAATTGTATTGTGTTGCCAGTGCCTAACAAAATGCTTACAATGTACATGTACACTTTAAGTTTTTGTTAAATGAAAGAGTGGCATATTAAAATTTGTTTAAAATACCATGAAAGCTTAAAAGATATAAATAGTATAATCCCGAGGAGCCTTTTAAGAACTGAGCATTACAATTTTATGGAATATTTTTACCTATGGAATATTTTATGGAAAATTTTACTTACTAAATAAGAGTAGGGAAATAGTATCCATTAGGATGAAGACATTTAACGTGTTGAAATATCAGATGTAAAATAAAAGTTAGGATAATGGTGTACAAACTAATAACATAGTAGTCAGTTAACTAGCTAAGACCTAGATGGAATTCCCTATAACATAGTTCCTTAAAAATAAAAGGGGATACAGATCTGTCCCAACACCAACATATTATCTAGGAGAAAGATTTATTGGTGGTTATTACTTACTTACAATGTGTTGTACTTTGAAACAACCAAAATACATATAGTACCAGCATCCTATAATGCTAATCTTGGAAAAATAGAATTAACAACTAACGTTAAAGAAAAGATGTATTCTGTCATCTGGAATGATACTGCCTGACGTATGATTAAATTCATCTAAAATCGAAGTTATGTTTTCTTTTGGTATTTTTTTAAAAGGACTTTTTACTTTTTTAGGCTAAGTGGCTACTACTGGCTTCATGGTGAAACATTTTCAGAATTAAGAGTGGTGTTATTTTAGTTATTACCAGTGTAGAGAAGGCACCTAGTGCGAATAGAGAATTTTGTGAGGAAGAAAACTGAGTACCTTGAATGTGCCTAGAAAATGTCCACATATGTGCTTTACAAAATTAGGCTTTTTTTAATAACAGAAATTATTACATAACTTAGAAATCTTATTTCTTGGAGTTCCAAGAATGCCAGAATATACACCTGATTTTAACCACTGCTAACTAAAACTCTGATGGCTTATAGAAATATATAGCTGTAATCAAAGAACCAAATCTTTGTTTGGCAATTTAAAAACAGTGGCAAATATATATTGACACCTTTTATTCAAAGATGAGTTTGCAAAGTCTAATGTTACCAGAGTGCAGATGATTTTGAAGTCTTCAGTCATTGGGAGACGTAAGTCAGGGATCACTATGTTAGGAAGAAAAATTATTCTCATCCTGAGCTGATTATTACCCATTTTTGTGGTGGTGGTTTGGCTTCTACTTTTTAATCTCTTTTGAGATTTTATTTGGCCTCTATATCTTTAATTCATCTGTCATCCTTTTCATGTTTCCCTCAATGGAAATGGTGTTTGAGAATGTTTCAGAAACATGTCATTGTGCCCAAAGTTTCATTTTCTCCCTCCTTCCTTTATTAGAGTCATGCGGACAATTAGAATGCCCTCATTATGGGATGGCACTGAGGCCTCTGCTTTAAAATAATGAAACAAAACTCTCAGGTTGTGTAATCATTCTTGGTTTTCCTATTTCCCCATTTTTAAATGAAGAAACTGTAGTTAAGAGTGGCTGCTTTTAAGAAAGCTGGAAAACCATGTCCATACAGTTGTTATGTGACTTTGATATTACCGTCAAGAGATTGACAACTGAGTTCTTTTTGTGGGGAGCTGGTCCTCCAAAATATCTAGAGAAATAATTCCAACCAACAGTAGGAACTCATAGCTAGTTGAGCAGTTAGTATTACACATATCAAGTAGTGGTGGTGTGTCCACAGGGGGTAAGTTCGTTTTTTGTGCTGTGTTTGTGTTTCTTCTGCTTTTGTTTCCTGTGCATTTTTAAATGTTTTACACACATATTTTTATTTTGACACCTAGGGAAAAACGGTAATGAATTTCTAAAATTACACATGAAAGGAAAGGAGAAAAACCCATTGACTAAAAGACAATAATCATTTAACTGACATATATTTTACTTTGTATATACTTAGGGGAAAAGGGCAAAACCATAACATAGATATTTATAGACTTCCAATTTTTGAAATAATTGCACGTCAATAAAAGTCACATAAGAAAATGAAGTTTGATACTTTTTTAAAATGGAAAAGTAAAAATGGTCCAAAAGAAGCATAAAAGAAAAAACTATATAAATGAAAACTAGGCATCTCTCTTCTCCAACCCGTCCTCCCAAATGAGCTTACATACTTGTTTTTAGCTTAGAAAAAATGTTGAATTGGAAAACTAGTTGATTTCAGTAAATTTAATCAAAACATTCTGACTTTTATAGTACAGAAATACTATCTACCATGAAATGTTGATTTTGAGAGCGTTTGTTCAGTTTGCTTTTACAGAAGCCTGAGAAGGAGATTTTACTGATACACCTTTAGGATGCTTCAACTCAAGAAGAGGGGAAAATAGCCAACACTACACATTGAATCATAACCCCCTATAGGAAACCCTTAATAGTCTGTTCCATCACCTTTCGAGAAATGTTTTCAATGCAAATGCTTCATTTATAACTGAATTAAAGTGATTCAATTACACATCCTTCCCTCTGCGTCATAATAAACACTTCTGCACTTATGAATTTTACACATTTTCACTTAATTTTTTAAGTCTCTCAATCAAAACACTAAAAACTGTTACTCCCAAATTATTGTGCTTACAAGGATTCCATTTATGAGCCCAAATCACATAAACCATTTCTGTATTTACCAGTAACACTTCTACTCCTGATCAGGGCAAACAGGTATCTGTTTGTCAAAAATCCCTCTAAAGATTTCACAGACACATACTCTTAAGAGAACAAATATGAAGGAATTCCCAAGGGAAAGTATCTTATCTTGTAGGAAAAAAGCCAGATTTTACCCTAATTTCTTTTTAGCTATGAAGCAGGTGCTTATTTGCATTGCTAGATCAAATAATCTTCTGATTTTCCATAAAATCACACCGATTTTTCTCGCTGGTTTTGAGCTGGGAATAGGCTTATATTGTTAGAGAAGAAACTACCAAAGAGTGTTAATCTGTAACATTCTCCAAATTTTGAAGCCTCCTGAGAGGCTGTGTCCTCACTCTGTAGGTAAGATTTTAGATTTTTCTTCTGTTTTTAACATTTGATCCATACAGTTCTTCAGTGTGATAGGTATAAAGCTATATTCTTAGTGTAATTTTACAGATGCTGAGATTGAATTTTTTTAATTCACTGAAAGTCATTATCTACATAGAAAAAAATGTTTCCTGTAAATACAATGTAAATCACTATAATAAAGTATATTTCAGTATTTATTTTCCTAATCATAGCTTACATTAGGTTTTTGTGTGTCAAACACTTTTCTAAGTTCTTTACATGTATTAATCTTTACGACAACCTTATCCTGTATATGATAATGACCACGTAACAATAGATGCTAATTATTATCTATAGTATAATTACTTAACCCAGAAGTAAATTATGCAAGGCCACATAGGTTTTGAATAGTACAGCAGAAATTTAAGCTATTTGGCTCCTGAGCTCTCAACTATTATGCTACATTTGTTTACTGTTTCACCAAGTATAATTTAAATATCATGAAAGCAGGGGCTTGGTCTTGTTCACAGCTGTATACCCTGGGACCCAGAACAGTGCACTCAGTTATCTATTGAATGATGAAATAAACAAATGTAATTATTTAAATCTCTTACAGAAGAATGTGATAGTTTTTGAATATATGAAGGTATATGTCTGAAGTTCTCAGAGAAGTTGAGAGGATTGAGAGTTTAGATTTTCATTTTAGTAAAATAGTATTTGACTCTAAAACTAATTTTAAGATTCTAGAAATTTTCTCTGTAGCTGAAGTATCATTTTATCCTCCCATAGCTTATAAATCAAGTGCTACCTGCAATTTGTAAAGTAACAAGTTAGTTTCAATTATTGCTTAACCTGCAGTTAAGGATTCCCAAATAGAACATAAAAATGCCAAGTACTTTTATCATATAGTTATTACACTTTTGAGTAGACCACATTATCACCATCTTTAACCCAAGTTGTAGGATATTTACTGTACCTTTTATTCTCCCTGCTTCAGTTGTACTAAACATTACAAGACCATTCACTAGTAATTAGTCATATTTTATAGGATTTGTTAAAAGTGAGAAAGGGCTAAGTTTTTCCAAGTGTCAACCTCTAAATAACTGGTCAAATGGTCATGTTAAAGAAAACTAATAGATTTTAAAAGCCTTTTCTTCAAAATTATTTTGCTGTTAGGAAAATCAAGGGGGCTCTTGTTTGAAGGCTTGATTTTTAAGGAGAAGCTTTTTTAAAAAATAGGCTATAACCTGGATACTAGGCAATGGAGTAATTCATACCAAGTAACAATGGTGACAGAGTCTTAGTATTTCAGGAATTTGAAGTCCTATTGTCTAGGTGTTGATTCCAGACTTGTAGGTAAGTCACTTTCATTTGGTAAAATGCATGTCTTTTGTAAAACAAATATAATAACACCTACTTCTTAGGGTCGTTATGGAGATAAAATGAGATGGTGTGTATTTGAAACCTGGCACATAGTAAACAATAAATACTAGCTTTTCTCGATTGAAGAACATCTCTGCCTAAATTACCCCATTGTATTGCCACTGAATGGTCAAATTAGAGTTGAATGACCATCAGATGATTTGTTATCTAGTTATAGATTGACACTGAATACAGAGGGAGTCTTCACATGTGTGTATGTGTGTTGTGGTTTGGTTTTGGGGACCATGCTGTTGCTGCGTTCTGTGCAGCTGGGATTCCATCACTACCCTGGCACAGACAGTGAAGTGATGATTTCTAACAGGGTGGGTTTCATCATGCAGTTCTGGTCTCTCAGGAGATTTTCCCCTCTGTCCTCTTCAATTAAGGGGTGGCCTGACATCATGGATAGCTTACAACTCTGGAAACAGGAGACTTTGGATATATGTATGTTTCCAGTTCTGTTCCCAAATTCCTTATTTGTAAAAATGTGGGGCTGGGCTAGTATCAGAATGTTTTATCTAGAGGGGACCCTACAGATCATCTTACTGACAGGTGTCTAAGTTTTTTCAGTAGTCAGCCATGTAATTAGAAATCTGTATTTTATTCATGCATCCGTTAATGTATGTGTATCTCCTGAGATTTCTAGCAAAACTAGAAAGTTTTCCTAATTAGCAAGAGCTGATCAAATGTAAGATTAGGTGGAGCCTAAGAACTTGTTTGCTGCAAAGGTCTTGTATCTGAAGGCCGAGAGGTGTCATGACATCAAGACTGGATCATTCAGTAATTCTAATTCCAGTTCAGTAGAATTTATTATAGAAATTAATAGAATATTATATTGTAAAGAAAGAAAAAAGAAAAACAGCTATGTAGATCGCTTCCATAGATTGACTAAGGTTTGAATCATCTCTAATTCCCCTTAGCCAAGCATATAGCCTCTTGACTCACCACTGTAGTCATATCATAAACATGCTGATAAAGCTTATACACGTGGATTTCTGGTCATGTGGCCCACTGTTGGCAAATCTTGGATTTCTGTGCACTAGGTGATTTTCCAGGACTAGCAGCCTGTGAATGCTAAGTCACAGATTATCCCAGTCTTTTCTCCTTGATCCACTTTAAAAACAAAGAAAAATATAAATCATTCTCCCTTTCTTTTTACTGCTAACATGACCCTTCGATCCTAAGCGTATTTTCCTTTGACCATTAAGAGCAAGTAAAACTTTGTATGAAAAAACACACAAAATATGGAATGTACAGGATATATTAATATAACATAAGAAGGCACTTTAGGTCGGGAAAAAGAAATGTATTTTTTTATTTTTTGAGGCTAGTAATTGGAGCTAAGCCAAAAATATGTGAAGTCTCAATGACTTGTAAATCCTTACTGACTTGGAATATATATTCCAGGAATATGTTGAATTCTTTTCATTTTCCACTAGCTTATAAGGGTTAGGGTTATATTACTCCTCTCCCACAACAAAAACAAAACAAAACAAAAACACTACAATAGCTTTTCTGTTGGATGGAATTGAAATTTCTCAGCCTGTCATTGAAAACCCTTCACAACCCAGCTCCAAATGCTATTAAGTTTCTTCTTCTTCCCTACTATGCACCCTCCCCTCCAGCCCCCCAGTGGTTCACATTACTCCCTGGGGCACCCTACATTTCCACACCTCTGCTTCTTTGCTCAGGCTGCTCCTTTTGCCTGGGATGCCCTCTCTTCTTGTATCCAGTCTACCTGACAAATTCCTATCCATTTTTCAAGATCCAACCTAGATAAAACAAAATGTTACGGGTCTTCATAAATCCCTTTGCATTCTTTCTGCAGGCAGAAAGTATCTCCCTCACCTGCGCCTTCATACCTAGTGCACACTGTGCTGGCTATTGTTCAATTCTCCCACTACTGCTACCGTCTCTGGAGCTGTTTTCATTTTGGCATCTGGCACACGGTTGATGCTCAATAAAGCCTTGTCAAAGTGAATTGAAACACATGCATGTGGCAAGAAGGAAGGAAAAACCCTGATTCGCATCAAATATATGTCATTTTTTCATTCATTATAAATACAGGCGAATGAATGAGGAACTGAAATTCAGCCATAACCCTACTCTCTCAGAGGAGGCATTGTTAACAGTTTAGTATACATATTTCCAGCTAAAGTCTACTTTTGAAAGGAGATCTGGTTTTCAAAATTGGGAATAGCAGGGGGTGGGAGGATTGGGGAGGGATAGCATTAGGAGAAATACCTAATGTAGATGACGGGCCATGGGTGCAGTAAACCACCATGGTACATGTATACCTATGTACCAAACCTGCATGATCTGCGCATGACCCCAGAACTTAAAATTACCTACATAGCCTAACAGTTGATCCTAATTTTTGACTTTGCTGTTTCTTTGTTAGCTCACAGAGAGAATAATCATCCTTTTTGTGGTGATCACCAGTCAAGAGGAAGTCCAAGAGAAATATGTGGTGTGTGTTTTATTCATCTTTTGGAATCTATTGGATATGGTTAGGTAAGAAGGCAAAATAATCTCTTTAAAAAAAAAAAAGGCCAAATTACTTTCTACAGTGAAATCAGTACTAGCCGCTTACATTTGGTTACTCTGTACGAGAGGGGAAAACATATTCCCCTTTTCAAATTATTTTATGTTGCTAAGGAAATGTATTTTTAGTGCTCTCCACAATAGGCATATCAAAGATAGTGAAACCTACCATGGTATTACAAGAGTAAAGTAGCACATTCAGGTTTCTGCAGAAGGCTTGGCATAAAACCGAATTGGAATAACCCCCAGCTGTTTCCTAACGGGAGGCATTCCTCACAATTACTTTAGTACAGTTGCTTTAATAAGCAAAGAAGGTCTTCTATTATATAGTCAGAATTTAGGGTTAGTTCCTGTGCATTCAAGAATCTTTTAAATAATGGGGCCTCTCTGGAAGAAAATGCACTCCCACATCCATTTACAATCCCAGTGGTTTCAAATGACAACTTAAGTTCTCTTATGGAAGCACTGAGAAGCCTTGCTCCAGTCTTCAGTGTCCTGCTAATTCTAAAACTTTGCAGTGAGATGTACCTAGTCTTATCTCTATAAGTAATGGTGTAAAACAGTCCCCTTTGCTCAGTGAGTCCTTATACCTAACTCTGGGGAGGTGTCCTAACTGCTAGGTCAGCTTTCAAAAATGAGAACTGTCCCTTCCACTTGAGAGATTTGGATTTGAATAGGTAACAAGAGCCTTAGTTTGTTTTTTAGCCAAAGTTATGTAAATTTTTTATTATATTGTCAATAACTGGATTAAAATATGTCTAATAGATTAAGTCCTAGAGTAAATTAGAATAAAATATTTTGTGGAAGTAAAATGAATTTAATTATGTATATAAATTAGTAATTTCTCATTTTTGAATTGATTAGTGGAGTTGGGGCAAACTTCATGGACTTTCATAGCCCTTCTATTCATGAGACAATGAAACATCATTTGGGATTGAAGCTTTCTAGTATGTTGCTCTCGGGTATGCTGACTCTGTCCGTCTCAGAGAAGCTCAGTAAAAACATTGAAGAACAAAACAATGTTTGCACTGAAAGAAGTAGCATGCTGTCGTAAGACGACTTTAGGACGGAAAGGTGGATCTCCCTGGATGAACTCACCTCCACTACTTACTTGCTAAGTGATGTTAGGCAAATAACTTAACCTTTCATATTTTAATAACAGCTTTATTGAGATATAATTTATATACCATGAAATTCAACCTTTTAAAATACAAAATTTGTGGGTTTTAGTAGATCCAAAAAGATGTGCAGTCATCACTACTCTCTAAGAACATTTTGATCACCCCTAAAAGAAACCTCATCCCCAGTAGCAGTCACTCCCCAATCTCCCCACCCCCCAGCCCCTGGAAACCACTTTCAACATGCTGTCCCTATGGATTGCCTATCCTGGACATTTCACATAAATGGAATCATCCACTATGTGGCCTTTTGTGACAGGCTTCTTTTACTTAGCATAATATTTTCAAGGTTCCTCTGTGTTGTAGCATGTGTCAGTACTTGATTGCTTTTTGGACTGAGTAAAATTCGCTTGTATTGATTTACCACTATGTATCCACATGTCAGTTGATGGACATTTGAGTGGTTTCTACTGTTTGGCCGTGAGGAATGCTGCCATGAACATCCATATACAAGCTTTTGTGTGCACATGTTTTCATTTCCCTTATACCTAGGAGTGAAATTCCAAGGCATCTAACTTTTAGAAAGTTTTTTTCTCTGTAAAACGGGGTTGACTTATCTTCCTACCCTACCCTAGAATTCTTTTTTCTAAAGTAATGAGCAAGAAACTTCCTAAGCCTGATAAAAACATCTATGAAAAATCCATACTAACATAATAGTTAATGGTGAAAGACTAATGCCTTCCTCCTAATATCCAGGAACAAGACAAGGGCGTCCACTCTTGCCACTTACATTCAACATTGTACTGGAAGTTTTATCCATGGCGATAAGGCTGAACAGAAAACAAACAAAATGGTATAAGGATCTAGGCTGGAAAGCAACAAGTAAAACTATCTCTATTGGCAGATGATATAAAAAATATAAGACCAATATATAAAAATGAATTATATTTTCATACGTTTGTAATTAACTACCATAAAATGAACTCAAGAACACAATTCTGTTTATAGTAGCATCAAAAAGAATAAAGTACCGAGGAATAAATTTAACAAAAGATGCACAGAATTTATACACTGAAAATTATAAAGCATTGTTGAAAATTAAAGAGCTAAATAAATGAAAGGACATCCCACATGGCTTGAAGACTTAGTATTGTTCAGATGGCAATATTCCCTAAATTGATCTGTAGATTCAGTGCAATCCCTATTAGAACCCAGATGACTAATTGCAGAAAATGAGAAGCTGATTCTAAAACTCGTATTCAAACTCGGAATAGCTAAAACAATTTTAGAAGAATATAGTTGAATGACTCATTCTTCCCCATTTCAAAACTACAAAGCAATGATTAAGTGTGGTACTGGCATAAGGATAAATCATGGAATAAAATTGATAGTCTAAATATAAACTCACATTTTTGATTGATTAACTTTTGACAAGACTGCCAAGACCATTCAATGGGGAAAGAATAGTTTTTTTTGACAAATGGTGGTGGGACCAACTGGGTATTTACATGCAAAAGAATGAAGTTAACACTCACATGTAAGTGGTAAAACTATGAAACTCTTTGAAAACAATAAAGGAGTAAATCTTGATGACTGGATTTGGCAGTGGATTACAAGATATGACACCAGAAACACAACAAAAGAAGAAAAAATTAAATGGGACTTCATCAAAGTGGCTTTTTTTTTTTTTTTTGAGATGGAGTCTCGTGCTCTCAGTCTAGAGTAGAGTGGTGTGATCTCAGCTCACAGCAACCTCTGCCTCTTGGGTTCCAATGATTCTCTTGCCTCAGCCTCCTGAGTAGCTGGGATTACAGGCAGCCTTCACCATGCTCGGTTAATTTTTGTATTTTTAGTAGAGACAGGGTTTCGCCATGTTTCCTAGGCTGGTTTGGAACCCCTGACCTTGGGTGATCTGCCCGCCTCGGCCTCCCAAAGTGCTGGGATTACTTGCCTCAGCCACCGCACTCAACCAAAAGTGACTTTTAAACATGAAAAGATGCTTACCTGCTCTTCTAATATGAGGGGGAAAAGATGAGATACCATTTTTACTTTGATTGGTAAAGATCAAAAAGCTTGATAATATGCTGTGTGTAATGAGGTCCTGCACTGCTGGTATGTATTCTTTGTAGTAAATATGCATATAGATATGCAAATGCAAAAACGTTTCTGAAAGAATACCTAAGAAACTGACATTGGCCATTGTCTCTGAGGGGTGGAATTCAGGTCCTGGATTGAGAGAAATTTACTCTTCCCCATTCATGTTTTCAAGGTGTTCTGGGTGGTTTTGCCATATCTATTTATTGTCTGTCTATATCAGTAGTTCTCCAAGTGTGGTCCCTGGACCAGTGGCATCAGTATCACCTGGAACTTGTTAATACAAAGTTGGCTGTACCACAGATCAATTGGTTCAGAAACTTTGGGAGTAGGGCCCAGTAATTTGTGTTTTAACATTTTAACATGCCATCTAGGCGATTCTGATGTATGCCTAAGCCTAAAAACCAGTGTCCTATGCAAAGAAATAAAACACCATGTAGACTATTTAATCTATTACATCATAATGGTGGGCTTAAAGGTCCCTACTGTACCCAGATTAGCTCCCAAGTCCAGTTGTTTAATTGATCACATAGATATTACACCTGCAGAAGCAGAAGGATGCCACGTAAAGATTGGAAGTACATTTTACTTTTTAATTCTGAAATATTTACAAGTATGTCTGTCTTTAAAAAACCTAGCTACTTGCTGCATAAAATGGGCTTGGCTTTTTAATGAAATTGGAGTCACTAATCAAGGAAATCTGTATTTTTCTAAGGAGGGAGTAAGAGTTATTTGCTCTGTTTAGCTTTATAATTATTCATGATCTACCCCATGACAAGCCAGATTGACATGGTCCCTTTTCCCCCATTAAAAAAAAACTTTTCTCTTGCTTAAATTATAGGATATAAAATATATAATTTGCACACTTTCCAACTTTCCAGTTATATCTGTTTTTAATTACATAGTAAAGTGGTTTCTCCTATTTGTCAGATATTAGCAGAAAATTATGTTTATGAGCTTCTCATCTTCTTTCAGGTACACTTACAGCATGTTATCAGTCATAGGAATATCTTACGCTGTCTTGACATGGCTGAGTCAAACACTATGGATGCCAATTTACCCTTTATGTGTTCTCGCTGAAGGTAAGAATAGAGTGACTTGCTGTATTACTGAAAAATGCCATCTAGTTATAATGGTTCACTAAATTTTTTGATGATTAAATTACTATCTTTGCAAATGCTTAGCTCACTCAGTGTATCTTTCCTGGTACATTTCCCTTGATGCAAAGACAAAGTTGAACAGGGAAGCAGCTCTGCACAGTAGACAAAAGATTGGACAAAAAGCAATGGCATCTGAGTCCTTCATGAATTCACTGTATGAGTTTTGAGTAACTCATTTAACCTCTTAGAGTCTGCTTGCTCACCAAAAAGAGGTTAATATTTAGAGAATCCATGATTTCTAACTTGTAATGCACAGAAACTGAGTTCCCACTTACCATGTATCCTGCCCTCTCTCAGCAACTAGTTAACTCTATCTTGAGATTAATTATCATTTTCTGAGGGAGGCATTCCCTGACTTCCTCAGCTGAGTTCCCCCACCTACAGCATCATGAATCTGTTATAGCAGGAGCCCCCAACCTAGGCTGTGACCCAGTCTGCAGCCCCTTAAGAGCCAGGCTGCATAGCTAGAAGTGCATGGTGGCCTAGCAGGTGAAGAATCATCTGTGTTTACGGCCACTCACCATCGCTCACATTGTCACCTTAGCTCTACCTCCTGTCAGATCAGTGAAGGCATCAGATTCTTATAGGAGCATGAACCCTGTGCTAAACTGCATATGCTCCTTATGAGAATCTAATGCCTGATGATCTGTCATTATCTCCCATCACCCCCAGATGAGAACATCTAGTTGGAGGAAAATAAGCTCAGGGCTCCCACTGATTCTATATTATGATGAGTTGTATAATTATTTCATTATATATTACAACGTAATAATAATGCAGATAAAGTACACAATAAACATTATGTACTTGAACCATCCTGAAACCATTCTTCTTCCCCTAGTCTGTGGAAAAATTGTCTTCCACAAAACCAGTACCTGGTGTCTAAAGGTTGGGGACTGCTGTCTTATGGGGCTTATCTCAGCATAATTACACATTTGTATGATTATTTGACTAATGTCCATTTCCTTGACTAAACTGTAAGCTCTGAGGGGGTATGAGGATGTCTTTGTTTGATTCTTTGCTTCCTTCCTTTGTCTTACACATCAGAACACATGCTCAACACAATGAATTGTTGAATACAATATGAAGTAGGCTAATTATATAGCCTAAAACTGAAGATCAAATCATTCAGATAATCAGTTTGCAGAGTTTGAGGATATTTGTAGAATAGATGATTTCTTCTGCAGTGGATTTGATAGACTGGTAAGGAGCATTCTGTAAGACATGATTAAAATTTTGAAAATCGAAGGCATGAAATAAGCATGTTAAGCTAACTAAGGGAAAAACATAAGGATGTAGATTTAAGATAAAATGATGATATTGACAATAATCATAAAGTATATAGAAGCCAGTTAAAAAGTACAAACATATCTTTTCCATCTACTGATGAGCAGAGAAAAAGAGCTTAAGTTACTGTAAATCATGTTAGATAGAATTTTAAACTTTTTTTTAATTTCAAAAGGAAGAATTACTAATTTTGGAATAGACTACACAAGTGGATCTAGAGAATAATTGTCTTGAAAACCATAAAAAAGAATCTGATTGTCCATCCTTTAAGAATGAAATCACCTCTCATGTAATATCAAGTACATGTCTTTGTTATATCATAGCACTGTAGAGAGTATATAAAGGAAATTGGGAGATATTGGTCAAAGAGTATAAAGTTTGTTAGGAGGAATGCATTTTTGAGATCTACTGCCCAGTAGGGTCACTGTACTTAATAATGTGTATTTCAAAATAGCTGAGAGTAACTTTCAAATGTCTCACCCTCTCAAAAAATAAGTGAGGTGATGGATACGTTAATTAGCTTGATTTAATCATTCCGCATTGTACACATATATCAAAACATCACATTATGTTTTATATATGTATACAATTATGATTTGCTGATTAATCAAATTTGAAAGAATATATAAGGGAATGGGTAGAAATAACACTAGTCCTTTCCTAAGAATAAGGGGTGGATAAATGTAGAGGAAACTTTTGCATTCTTGCTATTCCATAGTTTTTTTTTTTTTTAATTGTATTTGGGCTCTGGGGTACCTGTCATATCCTGCAGGATTGTTGCATAGGTGGTTTCTTGTCTCCATCCCTCCCCCCAACCCATCGCCTACATCAGGCATTTCTCCCGGTGTTATCCCTCCCCCCACTGTTGTCCCTCTCCCCTCCCCTATACCCCCCCACATAGCCCAGTGAGTGTTGTTCCCTTCCCTGTGCCCAAGTGTTCTCATTGTTCATCACCCGCCTATGAGTGAAAACATGCAGAGTTTGGTTTTCTGTTCTTGTCAGTTTACTGAGAATGATGGTTTCTAGTTTAATCTATGTCTCTACAAAGGACAGGAACTCATCATTTTTTATGGCTGCATAGTATTCCATGGTGTATATGTGCCACATTTTATTTGTTCAGTGTGTCATTGATGGGCATTTGGGTTGGTTCCAGGTCTTTGCTATCATCAGCAGTGCTGCAACAAACATACATGTGCATGGGTCTTTATAATAAACGATTTATAATTCTTTGGGTATATACCCAGTAATGGGATTGCTGGGTCAAATGGAATTTCTATTTCTAGATCCTTGAGGAATCACCACATTGTCTTCCATAATGGCTGAACTAATTTACACTCCCATGAACAATGTAAAAGTGTTCCTTTTTCTCCACATCCTCTCCAGCATCTGTTGTCTCCAGATTTTTTAATGATCACCATCTAACTGGCATGAGATGGTATCTCAATGTGGTTTTGATTTGCATTTCTCTAGTGATGAATGATGATTAGCATTTTTTCATATGTTTGTTGGCCGCATAAATGTCTTCTTTTGAAAGCAGCTGTTTGTAAACTTTGACCACTTTGGAATGGGTTTGTTTTTTTTCTTGTAAATCTGTTTTAGTTCTTTGTAGCCCTTTGTCAGATGGGTAGATTGCAAAAATTTGTTCCCATTCTGTTGGTTGCCAGTTCACTCTAATGATTGTTTCTTTTGCTGTGCAGAAGCTCTTAAGTTTAATTAGGTCTCATTTGTCTATTTTGGCTTTTGTTGCCATTGTTTTTGGTGTTTTAGTCATTTAGTCTTTGCCTGTGCCTGTGTCCTGAACGGTGTTGCCTAGGTTTTCTTCTAGGGTTTTTATGGTGTTACTTATGATTAAATCTTTAATCCATCTGGAGTTAATTTTTGTATAAGGTATAAGAAAGGAGTCCAGTTTCAGCTTCCTGCATATGGCTAGCCAGTTTTCCCAACACCATTTATCAAACAGGGAATCCTTTCCCCATTGATTGTTGGTAACAGTACCATGCTGTTTTGATTACTGTAGCCTTGTAGTATAGTTTGAAGTCAGGTAGTGTGATGCCTCCAGCTTTGTTCTTTTTGCTTAGGATTGATTGTCTTGGCTATGCGGGCTCTCTTTTGGTTCCGTATGAAGTTTAAGTTGGTTTTTTCCTGTTCTGTGAAGAGGGTCATAGGTAGCTTGATGGGGATTGCATTGAATCTGTAAATTACTTTGGGAGGTATGGCCATTTTCACAATATTGATTCTTCCTAACCATGAGCATGGAATGTTTTTCCATCTTTTTGTGTCCTCTTACTTCCTTGATCAGTGGTTTGTAGTTCTCCTTGAAAAGAACTTTTACATCCTTTGTTAGTTGTATTCCTAGGTATTTTATTCTCTTCGTAGCAGTTGTAAATGGGAGTTTGCTCATGAGTTGGCTCTCTGTTGTTGGTGTATAGGAATGCTTGTGATTTCTGCACATTGATTTTGTATCCTGAGACTTTGTGGAAGTTGCTTATCAGCTTAAGGAGGTTTTGGGCTGAGACAACGAGGTCTTCTAAATATACAATCATGTCGTCTGCAAATAGGGACAATTTGACTTGTTCTTTTCCTAACTGAATGCCCTTTATTTCTTTTTCTTTCCTGATTGCTCTGGCTAGAACTTACAATATGGTATTGAATAGGAGTGGTAAGAGAGAGCATCCTTGTCTAGTGCCAGTTTTTAAAGGGAATGCTTATAGTTTTTGCCCATTCAGGATATTGGCTGTGGGTTTGTCATAAATAACTTTTATTATTTTGAGCTACCTTCCATCAATACCTAGTTTATCGAGAATTTTTAGCATGAAGGGCTGTTGAATTTTGTTGAAGGCCTTCTCTGCATCTATTGAGATAATCATGTGGTTTTTGTCTTTGGTTCTGTTTATGTGGTGGATTACGTTTATAGAGTTGAGTGTGTTGAACCAGCCTTGCATCCCTGGGATAAAGCCGACTTGATCATCCTGGATAAGCTTTTTGATATGCTGTTGGATTTGTTTTGCCAGTATTTTATCGAAGATTTTTGCATCAATGTTCGTCATAGATATTGGCCTGTAGTTTTTTTAGTTGTGTCTTTGCCAGGTTTTGGTATCAGAATCATGTTGGTCTCATAGAAAGAGTTAGGGAGGATTCTCTCTTTTTGTATTGTTTGGAATAGTTTCAACAGGAATGGTACTAGCTCCTCTTTGTACATCTGGTAGAATTCAGCTGTGAACCCATCTGGACCTGGACTTTTCTTGGTTGGTAGGCTATTAATTGCTGCCTCAACTTCACCCCTTATTATTGGTCTATTCAGGAATTCAACTTCTTCCTAATTTAGTTTTGGGAGGGCACAAGTGTCCAGGAATATATCCATTTCTTCTAGATTTACTGGTTTAGAGGTATTTGTAGTAATCTCTGATGGTAGTTTGTATTTCTGTAGAATCAGTGGTGATAACCCCTTTATCATTTTTTATTGCAGCTGTTCGATTCTTCTGTTTTCATTTTTATTAGTAGGGCTAGTGGTCTATTTTGTTGATCTTTTCAAAAAACCAGCTCCCAAATTTATTGATTTTTTTTGAAGGGTTTTTTGTGTCTCTATCTCCTTCAGTTCTGCTCTGATCTTAGTTATTTCTTGTCTTCTGCTTGCTTTTGAGTTTTTTTGATCTTCCTCCTCTAGCTCTTTGAATTTGGACAATAGGGTGTCAATTTTAGATCTTTCCTCGTTTCTCATGTGGGCATTTATTGCTATAAATTTCTCTCTAGACACTGCTTTAAATGTGTCCCATACATTCTGGTACGTTGTGTCTTCATTCTCATTGGTTTTGAAGAACATTTTTATTTATGCCTTCATTTCATTGTTTATCCATTCAACATTCAGGAGCAAGTTGTTCAATTTCATGTGATTGTGTGGTTTTGAGTGCTTTTCTTAATCCTGAGTTCTAATTTGATTGCACTGTGGTCTGAGAGACTGTTATGATTTCCCTCTTTTGCATTTGCTGAGGAGTGATTTACTTCCAATTATGTGGTCAGTTTTAGAGTAAGTGCCATGTGGTGCTGAGAATAATGTGTATTCTGTGGATTTGGGGTGGAGTGTTCTGTAAATGTCTATTAGGTCTCCTGGGTGCAGATCTGCGTTCAAGTCCTGGATATCCTTGTTGCCTTTCTGTCTTGTTGATCTGTCCAATATTGACAGTGGAATGTTAAAGTCTCCCACTATTACTGTGTGGGAGTCTAAATCTCTTTGTAGGTCATTAAGAACTTGCTTTATGTATCTGGGTGCTCCTGCATTGGGTGCATATATATTTAGGACAGTTAGCTCTTCTTGTTGCATTGATTCTTTTACTATTATGTAATGCCCTTCTTTGTCTCTTTTGATCTTTGTTGATTTAAAGTCCATTTTATCAGAGACTAGGATTGCTACCCCTGATTTTTTTTGCTCTTCATTTGCTTGGTAAATCTTCTGCCATCCCTTTATTTTGAGTCCATGTGTGTCTTTGCACATGAGATGGGTTTCCTGGATACAGCACACTGATGGGTCTTGACTTTTTACCCAGTCTGTATCTTTTGATTGGGGCATTTAGGCCATTTACCTTCAACGTTAATATTGTTATGTTTGAATTTGATCCTGCCATTTTGTTACTGGTTGGTTGGTTTGCCCATTAGTTGATGTGGTTTCTTCATTGCTTTGTTTTTCTTTACCATTCGGTACATTTTTGCAGTGGCTGGTACTAGTTGTTCCTTTCCATGTTTAATACTTCCTTCAGGAGCTCTTGTAAGGCAGGTCTCATAGCAATGAAATCTCTGAGCAATTGCTTGTCCGTAAAGGATTTTATTTCTCCTTCACTTATGAAGCTTAGTTTGGCCGGATATGAAATTCTGGGTTTAAAGTTCTTTAAGGATGTTGAATATTGGCCCCTACTCCCTTCTAGCTTGTAGGGTTTCTGCTGAGAGATCTGCTCTGAGTCTGATGGTCTTTCCTTTGTGCGTGACTCGACCTTTAGCCAGAATCCTAATTCTGGCTGCCCTTTTTCCTTCATTTCAACCCTGGTGAATCTGACGATAATGTGCCTTGGGGTTGCTCTTCTTCAGGAATATCTTTGTGGTGGCCTCTGTATTTCTTGTATTTGAATGTTGGCCTGCCTTGTTAGGTTGGGGAAGTTCTCCTGGATAATACCCTGAAGAGTGTTTTCCAGCTTGGATTCATTCTCCCCATCACATTCAAGTACACCGATCAAGTGTAGATTAGGTCTTTTCACATAATCCCATAGTTTTTGGAGGCTTTGTTCGTTTCTTTTCACTCTTTTTTATCTAATCTTGCCTTCTCATTTTATTTCATTGATCTGATCTTCAATCTCTGATATCCTTTCTTCTGCTTGATCGATTTGGCTGTTGAAACTTGTGTATGCCTGGCAAAGTTCTGTGTTTTTCCACAGAACTTTGTGGAGCCTTCCCAATGGCTCTTTCCTTCTTGAACTCGATCTCTGGTTAGGGTCAAACTGGAGTATTCATTGCAAAGCTCTCTAGCACATGGGCTTCAGTTTGAGTTTTGTGGGGGTGGGGCCTGCCAGGCCTTATGGCCTGTTTCCCTGCTTTCAATTCTGCCTCTTTTGTGGGACAAGTAGCTCCATCCTGCTGATGTTAATCCAAACTTTTGCCCAGTCCGTGCCGACAACTGTGCCATTGCTCAGATTTGCATTGACAACCCACAGTGCCCCTCAGTCTGGCAGGGCTCATGTGGACCGTGGGTTACAGGAGGGATGAGGGAAGCACAGGATCCTAATTGGAGCATTGAGGGGGTGAAGTCCCCAACCCTCCAAGCTGGCTGCACATTCCAGGTGGGGACATACCTCACCCTGTCTCAGTTCACCCTCCCTGGCTGCTCTAACCCTGGGCTATTTTCAGAGTCCTATCAGTCCCACCAAAACAAACCTGGCACCTTGTTTGGAATTGTGAAGTCCTCTAGCCCTCTGTGTCTCATTTGCTGGGAGCTGCATTCTGGTGTTGCCTCTTCTTGGCCATCTTGGCACACCTCCTTATTCCATAATTCTAAGCCTTTTCCTTTCTAGGAAAGCCATGTTTTTATATGGTTGCCATGTAACCCTTATTCTTTTATTAGCTTCATTAACCTATTCTTGCAATTACAAAATAAGGTATGTGCAGAAAATAGTCTAGAGGTATATATGACAGAAATGTCAGTAATTAACTCTGGTGATGGAGTACAGATGATTGTAATTTTATCTTTATATGTTTCTGTATATGTTGGATGTCCCAAAGTAAAAAACTGTGCAGTTAAATAAACCTACTAAGACTTTTGATAAATAATTTTTAGTAAGTATAATTTCCCACCTGACAAATATAAGACAAAAAGTTTATGTAAATAACAAAATCAACTAACTGTACTGATCAAATGCTAGAGACACAGGGGCAGCCTGTGTTCATCTTAAACTGTATGGTTGGTGTCAGTTGCAGATCCTGCACGGATGCTACTGATACCTCTGCTCAGCTCTAATAGTTGTGAGCTCCTGCTTTTTCTTTGTTTTTCTCTTTTTAAAAATCTTTTCTTTAGGGATAATTTTGACTCGTAAGAAATTGCAAAAACAGTGCACCATTCCCATGTACCCTAACGATAATATCTGACAGAACATTAGCATATTACATTTCATTCCATGTAATGTTACCAAAAATATCTATACATGGGATACAATTTTACTGAAACTTCATCTTTTTTTACCTGACACCAGTACCCTCCTTCAAAATAATTTAGGTCAGTATTTCTCATAAAGTTATTCAAAATATTATTAAGTACTACTGATGGTTAAAGAGGAAGAAGCACATATTCTAAGGCCAGTTAGACTGAGGAAGTGTTGGGTGGCATCTTTTTTTTTTTTTATTGCAGAATGTCTCAATCTCTACTGTGTTAACATGTGTTTTGAAACTCTAAGAGGAAACTGTATGCACCATTTTCCAAGTTCATTTGTCTAGCACCCCCATTTGCGGCCAGGCAAACAAATGTATTTTGAGGTAACATTTTAAGAAACATTGTAAATTCTTCCTCTGTATGCATAATAAAGTATACCATGGATGAACATTCAACAAGTCGTGCCACTGTAAGCACCTTGCCAACTTAATCTTTTAGCAGATTTCTATATTAAACTAGGTTTAGCAAAAAGATTTAGCAACTATTACAAAACTATCATTAATAAATTCAAATGTCCTACAACTATGAAAACATACATATACATCCCTGTAACAACTTGAGGAAAACCTTCATGATGCCTTTTTGTTTTTAACAGCATTTGCCATCTATCAATCACTGCCTTATTTTGAATCATTTGGCACTTATTCCACCAAGCTGCCCTTTGACTTACCCATCTATTTCCCATATGTGCTGAAAATATATCTCATGATGCTCTTTATAGGTAAGTGGCCTTTTTGGTCTTGTTTTTGCATTTTTCCTGTGCTTTTTGGTTAGTGCTTGCCATCTACCTTAATATACAGGTTGATATACATGGGAGAGACCAAAGAGGAAGCCTGAGATGATGAACTAGATCTCGTTAGCAAAGCACCTGGAGGTTATAATGGTTATAATGCTTTTTGCAGGGCATCATGGGATCACTCATATGTTTCACTTTCACTGTAAAAACAGGAACAATTTTACCATCAGAAAATATAGCTGCACTGTGTATGAGATATAGAAGTTTTGACCATGTGCACAGGTATCTACAAATAAAGCCTAGATGTCAAACTAAGAAGAATTGGCTATTTCTGATTTTTCCATTTCGTTTCTTGTTTGTTTGGCTTTTCACACTGGCACTTCCTATCAGGCAAATGGGAGTCGATGTTAGAAACTCAAGACAAATGTATGAAGCAAAAACTTGCCCTTGAATAAATTTGAACATTAAAGTTAATGGTTTTCCAGGCAATTGGGGAAAAAAACTTTATTAAATTTTTGTTTTCCCAGCTCTAACCATCACAAATCTCCAAAATAATGATTATATCTAGAAGGTAACAGATATGAAACATAAAACAACACATAGAAAAGACAAAAATTTGAGTCTTTAGAGAGAGAGGGAAAGAGCTACCCCAAAGAAAGGGAGACAATTGCTTGCATTTAAAAAAGTAGGATAGAACAGTTCGATTTACCTCTTTCTGCATAAAATCTGGATACTTCTTTAAGCATTCCTTCTTCACATCTCCCTTGAGTGTCTTCTCCCTGGAATCTGGGCAGCACTCTGTATTTTAAAATCATTGTTCCTTCCAGAGAAATAGATAACCTTGCTTACTTTTGCAACTTCTTTCTCCACGTTAGGTATGTATTTTACTTATAGTCATCTATACTCAGAAAGAAGAGACCTCCTTGGAATCTTTCCCATTAAAAAGAAGAAAATGTGAAGTGCAGCATTCCAGTGTGACATAAGAAAAGACAGGCTGTGGATTCAGCTGCAGTAAATACAACGCAGGAAGTATTCCGGTGGAAAAATACCTTTTATTTGATAAAAATCCATTACATGAAACAATTGCACACACCCCCAAAACTCTAGACATAACAGACTGTTTTTCACACATTGTATTTTTAAGACATAGATATTTTCCATACCTTGCTTCACCAAAGTTCCTGTTTTATTTGGATTTTTTTATACAAGTTATACTTAAATTGTATGAAGTCTGATTATTTTCCTATAAGGTTAATGAGAAATAGAAGATTAACTGCAATAGATTTAATTAAATTAAGAAACCAAACTTGATAACCTAAATTACAGGTATACATATATATTTTTTTGACTTCCGACTCTCAAAATAGATCTATGGCGAGGGGCGGGGGGAAGTGATGGAAAATATATTCCACAGTCGACTAGAGTAACATATTTTATAGACAGATGTTTATCTTCAGAGCTCATAATTCAATACTCACCCTAAACATCAGATATGTTTAGAAAATTAAATATTTTTCCAAGCCCTATGTCTTAGCTCAGGTTGCTGTAACAAAACACCATTAACCGAATGACTTAAACAACAGCAACACTTCTCACAGTTCTGGAGGCTGGGAATTCCATTCAAGATCAAGGCACTAGCTAATGCACTTCCTGGTGAGGGCCCTCTTCCTGGTTTGCAGACAGATGCCTTGCTGTGTCCTCAAATGAGAGAGCGAGCTTCTCTCTTGTGTCTTTTACAGTGGCACTAATCCCATCCATGAGGACTCCACCCTCATGACCTAATTACCTCCCAATGGCCCCACCCCCAAATACCACCATATTGGAGGTTAGGGCTTACCACATGAATTTTGGGGGAACAAAAAGATTCAGTCCATAGCATTCTGCACCTGGCCTTACAAAATTAATGTCCTTCTCACATGCAAAATACATACATTCCATCTCAACAGCCTCAAAATTCTTAACTCATTCCTGCATCAACTCTAAAGTCCAAAGTCTCATCTAAATCAGATGTGGGTATGAGATTCAAGGTACAATTCATCCTGAGGCAAAATTCCTTTGTAGCTGTGAACCTGTGAAATGAAACAAGTTATGTGCTTCCAAAAATACAATGGTGGGCCACCAGAGGATGGACAGTCCCATTCCCAAAGCAAGAAACAGGAGAGAAGGAAGGTATAATGGGTCCCCAAGTCCAAAACCTAGCAAGGCAAACAGCATGAGATCTTCAGGCTTGGGAATAATCCTCTTTGGCTTGATGTTCTGGCTTCAGGACCCAATGAGGCAGAGGTATTGCCCCCAGGACAGTGTTGGAGGAGGACGACCCCTATATCACCAGGCAGAAGCTGTCAGGCCTGTTGAAAAACCACGACAATGACTGCCCCTTTTGAAACTGAGGAGGTACACCTGATGTTCTCTGATCACCTTTTAAGGTCGGTCTTTCCTTGTCTTGAAGCATAGTGTACATTCACAGCTGAATAGCTCTATGCTCCCAAATCCAACAGCCTTCCTTCATTTTGTCCCATCTCCATTCTTTTAATAAAACTGGCAGTGTACCTGCTGGGATGGCTGATTAGGTCTGTGGTTCACACCCACACAAGTGTAAGTGGATGATCTGTCCGCTACACCGTTAGTGTTGTCTTCCAAACAAGTTTTATCTTTTTGTAATGCAGACAGATGGATAATTTCCCCAACCTTTAAGTTCTGGTTCCGTTTTGGTTAACAGGTCTGTCATGTTTTAATTTTTACTTTAAGCAGTCCAAGGCACTCCTTCAACACTGGCTGGAGATCTCTTCAGTTCAATATCGAATTTCATGGCTCAAAATTGTAACTTCACACAACACTAGAACATGAACACAATCATCCAAGTTCTTTGGGACATTATAACAAAGATCATGTTTCTTTCAATTTCCCATAACAGGTTCCTCATTTTCATTCGAGACGTCATCAGCATGGCCTTTATTGTCCATGTCTACCAACATTCTATTTTGTGGTGATTTATATATTCTCTAAGAAGATGGAGGCTTTCTTTCCCACCCTATTTTCTTTGAGCCCTCACTAAAATCAACTCTGTCAATCCCTTCATGGCAATATTGGCTTTTTCTAGCATGTACCTCAAAACTCTTTCAGCTTCTATCTGTTACTTAACTTCAAAGCTGCTTCCACATCTTTGTGTATTGGTTATAGCAGCACCTTATTTCTTGGTACCAACTATCTTAGTCACCTTAGCTGTTACAACAAAATACCGTAAACTGGGTGCTTCAGACAAATACATTTTTCACAGTTATGGAGGCAGGGAAGTCCAAGATAAAGGTGCTGGCTAGTTAATTAAGTTCCTGATGAGGTTCCAAGGTGCTAGCTGATTCTTCCTCATGGTTTGCAGATGGATGCCTTCTTGCTATATCCTCACATGGTGTAAAGATACACCGTCTCTCCCATGTTTCTTATTGTAAAGGTACTAATCCCATTTATGAAGGTTCCAGTTTGAAATGCAATCACACTGGAGATCTTCAACATATGAATTTAAGGGGGGGGACACCAGCATTCAGTCCCTAGTGCTCTGATAGAGTATTCATTAATATCATGTGTCATTAACATCTTGTAAGTTATTTGGGCTTTGATGCCTTGAAAGAAGACCCTGGCCAGGCATGGTGGCTTACACCTGTAATCCCAGCACTTTGAGAGGCTGAGATGGGCAGGTCACTTGAGGTCAGGAGTTCAAGACCAGCCTGGCCAACATGGCAAAAACACATCTATACTAAAAATACAAAAATTAGCTGGGTGTAGTGGTACATGCCTGTAACCCTAGAGGCTGAAGCATGAGAATCGCTTGAGCCTGAGAGGCAAGGGTTGCAGTGAGTGGAGATGGAGCCACTGCACTCCAGCCTGGGTGACGGAGTGAGACTGTCTCAACTACAACAACAACAACAAAAAAAGCCCTGAAGAAAATAGTCCAATCCTGTATTTATTTTTAATTTTAAAAATGACACACATATATTACAGGAAGATAAAAGGTATAAAAATATACTAAATATTTTTTAAAAAAGGAATTAGTGTTTTGGATTATCGCTGAATTATTGCTAATTAATGTAAGTCATATGTCCTCACAGTTTTGAAAAATGCTTTCTTTGAAGATCTAAAAAATGTGTGAATAACTGATAATCACTGCTATATCACTGATGGTCACTCAATTTTTGGTAAATAATTATAAAGACCTTATCTAGTAACTATATAAAAAGGTATTAAATATATTGTGGTGTAACAATGGGATAACAAAAATGTAATTTAAAAAATGGATAACTTATTTCCTCTAAAGAAAACATTTTAAAAGAAACAATTATTAGGCTACTTGAAATCTTTATAAAAACAATTGGATTTTAAAAAGTTATCCTTTTAAAAAGCTACATTTTATTTTGCTCTTATATTTATCTTCTAAATTTCAGAAAAATTACGAAAAGTTTTAATATGCAAGGATAACAAAAACTCTCCAAATTTTAGGTGAGTTAATCTTAATCACTCCCAATAAAGATGGCTACTTAACACTCCTTAAGTACATCCACAATCAGTCACTGAAACAAGGAGAAAGAGTTAGAGAAACTACACTTTACTGGGTCATTATAATAAATTAAAATTTCATTATTAAATAATGCTTTAATTTTTTAAGCCAGTTTACCTTAAAAACTTCTTAAAATTGGAAACCAAAAGAAACACAAGTGAATTTATACTTATTTTAATAAAAGAGAAATAAGGATTGACAGTAATTTGAGATCTGCAACAAATGTGACATAAAAAGATCTGCCATTTCCTTTGGTGACAGGCACAATTGTTAACATTACTGTGGCTGGTTGCTTATTTCATAGTCAAAAGGAATACTAAACTTCATTTTCAATTAGTGAGAATAAAAGAGTAATTTCCTTTTCCACTCAAGTACATGTTCCCCAGGTTAAGAAACCCAACATAGTAAAATCAATACAGTAAATATCTGGTTAATTAGATGTTACTGAGAATGCAAAGTTGATTTCTTTGCCTTTCTGTCTTAACTGTATGTTCACCAAATCCCTATTTCATTTTGTACAGTGTAGACAAAAGCTTAGTTTCTCAAATCTAAGTAATATAGATGAAATAGGAACCATGAGATATTTTGAAAACACATCTAAGACAACTTTTTTCTGTACTTTTTTATTGTGGTAAAATGTAAAATATACCATCTTAATCATTTTTAAGTGTGCAATTCAGTAGTAGTAATTTGTATTGTGCAACCATCACCACTATCCATCTCCAGATCTCTTTTGACCTTGCAAAACTTAAATCCTAGACTCTTTAAGCAATGGTTTCCTATTCTCCCATCTGCCCTGTCCCTGGCAACCACCAATCTACTTTTTGCCTCTATGGTTTTGATTGCCCTAAGTGTCTCATATAAATGTAATCATACAGTATCTGTCTTTTGTAATTGGCTTATTTCACTTAGCATAAGGTCCTCAAGCTTCCTCCCCATTGTATATGTTGGAATTTTTTCCTTTTTGAGGCTGACAGACAAGGGAGGGAATTACTTCTGTCATTTTGTTATTTGTTTTCTACATAGCTTAGTTTTTTGATCCTTCATTTCCTGCATTACTGTCATCTTTTGTGTGTAGTCTACTTTTTTAGAGTGAAACATTTAAATATATTTCTCAGTTCTTCTGTGTATATTCTGTAGCTGTTTTGTTTTTGGTTACCATGGGATGACATTTAATATCCTGAAGCTAATTTGGATTTATACCAGCTGAACTTCAAAAACATACAAAAATTCTGCTCATTACATCTCCATCAATCACTCCTTTAAGTTTCACAAAATTATAAACACTGTGTGCAAAATCAATTTTTAAAAATTCATTAGTCTCTATGTAGAAAACAAAAAGTGGAGTCACAAACCATTGTTACAAAAGTACTAGATTTTATAATTGCCCATGTATTTTTCTTTACTGAGATCTTTATTTCTTCATGTGGCTCTGAGTTGCTGTTAAGTGTCTTTCCATCAACCTGCAGGACTCCTATTAGCATTTCTGGCAGGGGCAGGTCTCAGCTTTTGTTTATCTGGGGATGTCTTAATTTTTCTCTCATGTTTGAAGAATGGTTTTGCCAAATACAGGAAATGTGGTTGATGTATTTTTTTCCTAATACTTTCAATATATGAGCTCACTGCCTTCTGGCTTCCCAAGTTTCTGATGAGAAATCTGTTGATAATCTTATTATCACTTATATGTGATAAATTGATTTTTTCATGCTACTTTCAAGATTCTCTTTTTGTCTTTGTCTTTTGACAGTTTGTGTGGATCTCTTTAAATTTACTGTACTTGGAATTTGTTGGTCATTATCTGGCTGTTCTTCAGATATTCTCTCTATCACTTACTTTCTTCTGTTACTTTCTTCTCTCTTTTCCTTCTGGGACCCTCACAATGTATAGTTTTGCTTGATGAATCCCACGGATCCTTATACCCTGTTCACTTTCTTCCAATTTTTTTCCTGTTCCTCAGACTCTAATAATTTCCATTGTCCTATTTTCATGTATACTGATTCTTCTGCTGCTCAACTCTGCCTTTGAAAACCTGTTGAGTTTTTCATTTCAGTTAACATACTTTCTAGCTCCTGAAACTTTTGGATCGTCTTAGATTTTCTCTGTATTGATTTTGTTCATACATTGTTTTCTTGACTTTTTCCACATGCTATTGGGTTCTTTAAAAAACATCCTTAAGGCAGTTGTTGTAGAGTCTTTACTAGATTCACCATCAAGTTTTTTTCAGAGATACTGTTTGTTTTCATCTGAAAGGGACATACTTTCCTGTTTCTTAGTACTTTTTTTTTTTTTTTTTTGCTGAAAACTGAACTTCAATCTAATAATATGGTAACTACATCTCACTAAGGTCCCTAAGTTAATGGTTTTCTTAAAACTATTCCTTACTTTGCCTGCCTTGAACAAGTTGACAAATATGAAATCTGAATTTCTTTCAAAAATACAAATAGAATCTTACAATTAATTTAAGTTTATATATAAGAAAACATTTTAATTAAGGTAAAAATATGCTAAAATTATCTTCCTTTACCCAGTATCTATCTTCCACTTATTTATTATTGCTTTGTAATAATTATCATGTTTCCCTTTTGTGCAGGTAATTCTAATATTCTTCTGGTCTGAGTCATATGCCCATGTCGATATGACACGTTTCTCCAGGGTAGTGTTCAGATTGTATGTTCAGGGAGCAATAGCCACAATTAACAAGGTCACCTGTTTAGAATGCAGATACCAGGGCTCCACTAAAGGTATGTTGAATCAGCAGCTCTGGGAATAAGCTCAGGATCTTACCTTTTGATAGGCTCCTCAAATGAGCCTCATGCACAGAAATGTTTGAGAACCACTGCTGTTGAGTCTAAATTATTTCAGCTTTGGACAGAAAACTGCTAATAAGAACTACTTACATAAAAGCCACCAATGTTTTCAGAACCGAGATTAATTTTTATGGCTTTAAAAATCCTTAAATAGTAGTTCTGAACATGTTTTTAACAGACCAAATAAGAATTGCTAACTAGTTTATTTTTGCTCAGGGTAGCTAGAGTTTTAAACCTAATCTAAAATAAGGTTAATTCCATATGGAAATCAATTAGTAAGAATAAGCCTTAATTCACATAAATGTCGGTGTCTATTGTGTACTTCATGGTATTCAGCTGAGTGATGGGATCTTGTGAAAGATAATGTGGTCTAGAGTTAAGAGCACTCGCTCTGATTGAGATCAAGCTGCAGTATTTACTAACTGAATGAGTCTTTGAGTTCCAGTTTCCTTAGGTGCTTAAAGTTATTGTAAAGAGCAAATGAAATACGGTAAATTAAACTTTTGCAAATTGTAAAGAGCTTTGCAGAGAAGTAGGACATTTATAACATTCAGTTCTTATTTCATGACAGTTTGGTGATTTAAATTCTCTGACCTTAAGTTCTATGAGAGCAGGGATGACACATTTTGTTCAGTTTGTACCCCCAGAAACTTGTATAGTGGCACATAATAGACACCCATAATTGTGTAACTCTACCTTTCAAGAATACCACCACTACATCTAAAAATGTATTTTAAAGAATTCTATCAGATTATTTAGGTAATGAATTTCAGTTGTATCTCACAGGTTACCTTATATTTAGAAGACACATAAATTTGTTTTTTTCTTTCAACTTATATAAGTATCTTAACATGCTACTTCTAGAATGTTTTAATTGTTAAGAACAATTTCTTAAACTTTATCTTCCCAAGTCCCCACATACATGTCAGGAATGTGTTCAAGCATTACAGCTACTATTTGCAGTGAAACATGCAAAAGTGACATTTCAATAACATTTTATAACTTATAAACCATATTTTTGTATTCTTTCTTTTAACCTCATAGCTACATTTTGACGTAGATCATTTTATCCAAAAAATAAAACCAAACCTCAAGGAATCATCATTTTTATTCAGTTTCATATTTAATAATTTAGCTGGAAATTATCTCACAAGTTCCCTATGTTTGACAAGAATCAGATGCTTTCTAAGTTGTAGATTTAAAGATTTTTTTACTATTTATGAAGATTCACAGATTTAATGCAAAACCCACAACTTTATAAATACTATATATATCACATTTAAGATGAGATTTTAGTGTTTCCAGAATCACAGTAAAGTATGTCCCCCAGAAAATATAAAAGCATCTCACCTCAACCAGGACTACAGCAGTGATGACACATATATATAAACAAAGAGGATGCTGTTGGGTGTCTTTCCACAAGAGTGATGAAGAATGAATCCTTCCAGCCACACTCTGTCCCCTACTTCCATTTGAAGTGGTTCCTATGAATAGGTTGGTTGGCTCAGAAATACAAACTCACCAGAGACCTACCCTACAACTCGGGCTTAAATGAAGGCCCCATCTCTTTACCAAATGATCAGATTTATCTTCTAAAACAGCAATTTACTAAAGTGTTTGCTAAACCTCAAACTGCTGCTTTGCTTGCTTTTGAAGTCAGTAAGTTACTTCAAGATAGTAACTGAATCCCTAAATTTGACTCCTTATATAATTACAAAACCATTATCTTTGGTTAAAATCATTTTGGAGACATTAATGTCTCCCAATTAACTACAAAAAAGGGTTATTAACAGCCTTTTGGTTACCATGGAGCCATCACATTACAAATGAAACACAGAGGGGATTTTAGGCACTTGCATGGCTCCCAACATCTGTTCCAAATGTACACTTTTCAAATCAAGAGTCAGACTGTTTAGATAGTTCTGAGAGCCCTATCAGGGCCCAAGCCCCACACATTAATTTGTTAGTACATCTCAGCATGCTATTTGTCTTGGCCACTTAGAAGATGACTTGTAAGGAAACTTTTCATAAAGTTAGGAAGATCTGTCATAAAAATGCAGAGACTTCTCGTTTCTGGAGGACAAACTGAAAAATCCTAAGGGAATAATTTAATTCTCACCTGAGGTCATATAGATAAGAGAAAAGGTATTCTGGTGATCTATATCTTAGAATGTTTAGATATGAAAACCTTTGAAGTTTTGAATTTAGAATCTTTAGAGGTTCCCATGAATAAGAAAATCCTACAAATCTTTGATTTAAGCCTGCTCAGATAAAAAGTAGTAACGGCAGAAAAAAAGAAGAAACATATCTTATTTCCTTCCTTTTGTACTCTTCTGCTTCCCAATCAAGGGCAGGAGCAGGGACAAAGGTTTGGAGGAGAAGAAACTGGGCTGAATTGATATGGGCATCTGGGGCTAGAGGACCAGGCTGATTCCTCATCCCTTTACTTGGGCATTGACAATCTCTGACCGCTGACTAAAAAAAAACAAAAACAAACAAAACCATACAGAATAGTTCTTCAGTGCTCACTTCCTCTTCACTACTCGTTTGTCATTCATGTTGCAAGCCGGTCCAGGAATCTGAAGTCCTTCAACTCATGAAAACCTACTCATTTACACTACAGACCTAAACTTCTCAATTCCAGAGGCCTGCCTATATGAGGCAGAGTTTATCTGACTATAGCAATCTACATTAAGAACGAATGAGGTTTTATCCTCGGTGGGAGTTTTCATCTTAAAGTGGGAGCTGATGAGCCTGGTGCACAGAAAGAGCATTGGGTTCTGGAACCTTAGCTCTAGGTTGTGATATTGTGATATTGTTGCAAGAGTTAAATAATATAACTGAAAGCTCAGCTGTTTTCTCATTTTGCTATTTGTTTTGTATCTGCTTTATAGCTACTTCCTTACTTCCTGCATAATTGTCATCTTTTGTGCTTTTTTTTGCAATGAAGCATTTAAATACCTTTGTCATTTCCTTTTGTGTATATTCTGTAGCTGTTTTCTTATACCTACTAGTAATGTCAGATGAATCTCAACCTTTCATCAGTAGGAAACGTGAGAAAGCGTATATGGATGGAGAGAGGAAAGCTGGTTTCTATTGTAAATTTTCTATCTTCTTTGCTTCCTTCAAAATCATTTTTCTTTAGCCTAACCTCTATGGAAGTAATATAGTTGGAAAACAAAACTAGTAAAGCTATTTTTAACGTAAGTGGCAGGGGAATGCTAAAAGCTCCATGGTGCTTGTGCAGCACCAGGCACTGTGCTATGACATGACAAATGCTATGACATGACAGGCACAAAGGTACATTATTTCAGTGGCACAGTTTTTCTTCCAGCGATCCCATATATGTATGCAGTATGCATCAGTATGTTTATATGATTGGCTAAACACAGAGCCCTGATACTGGCTGTGAGAAGAGTAATTAGACCAAAATTTAAATGCTGGCTGAGTCTCAAGCCATTGAGTAAAATGCAACCCTTGAAAATATCATCTCAAAACTTCCTTTACTTTAGTCCACTAGCCACCCTGATTAAGAAAGAGATTTATACTTACTTAAAAAACTGATCTTCAGGGGAGATACTGGTCATTTCGTTTTGCCAGCCAGCATCCCATCATCTTTCTTCTGGAGGAAACCCAGTTCAGGTGGTTTGGGTGGGGCTGCCTTGGCCTCTCTCTATCCAGAGACTTAGGAGTGGACATATGACTCAGGTCTGGACAACTAGAATTCCCCACCTCCCTGGGCCCAAATAGTTGCTCAGAGACTCACATATGACCCAATTCCCTGGGCCCAGAGATCCAATCTGAACCAGCATCCTCCTCCTGTTGCTTTTGCTGTGTCTGTGGGCAAAGACAGACATTTTTTCTTTCCATTTGAGGTCTCTGGCAGACATCTTGCCAGCTATGTGGACTGATCCTGGGAGGAACAAAGCCTGATGGCATCACTTGATTCACTGGATGCAGCAGTGTCAGATGAGATCTACTCTGAAATTTCTTAGTTTATGAACTCATCTTTGGCTGAAGCTATTTTGAATCGCAACTTTCACTTGCATTCAAGAGAGCAAAGCATAAGGAAATTATAGACACCATTAATGAATCTGATTTAGCTAATAATCAAGGTTATCCTTATTATTTAAATGTGTACAACAAGGAAACTTCTCTAACTCATTCAGTCAATGAATATCCTCATGGAGATTCATGGAAAATAGATCATAATGCCATTGTCACCAAGTGGTGCTGGCACCTTCCCCCATGCCTTAAAAGTCACATGCACAAAACTGACAAGATTATTTTACTAGAATTTAATGGAGAGGAGATAATACTCAAGTTTCACAAAGAAAATCTCCACATTGAACTCTAGCCAAATAAAGAAAACCAAAGTTCCCATTTCAGTCTCAACTGGCCGAGGGACTGAAGCAATGCACTCCTCTCTTGGCAGGCATGTGTCAAGCTGTCAGTGATGGGGCCACCTTTTCATAACCCTTAACTTTCTACATCATGTATCAGTAATCCCAGGCCCGAATTCTGAAAAACTTCTTCCTCTTATATGGTTTTCCTCATCCAGCTGAGAATGCTGCTGGTTACTGCAAAACTGTTCACCAACCATATGCTCTGGTCCATACAGCTTTCTTCTTAAACTCTGGTAGAACTCTCAAGGACAACAGGGTGGCTAAGGGGACAAAAAATAGGTGTCGCTGCATTTGAAAACGTCATTTTGACCAAAAACGTGTCAGAACAGAATTGGGCTTTTCCTCACTTGGCTAATGTTCACGACTAAGGAGTCGCAACAAGCTTTTGGCAGAATTTTAATGGCAGAAAACCATTTATAAATGTTGGGGGTAAAGTTTTTCTTTAAGTTCCCCTGCTAGAATTTAATGGGAAATTTTGCAGAATTAAAATAAAAGCTGACTTCTGGGATGCTGGTGATGGATTTTTTTTTTTTTCCTTACTGAGGGTGCTGATTACATGGCTGTGTTCCCTTTGTAAAAATCTACTTACAACCTGTGTTCTTTTCTACATAAATATGATACTTCCATTAAATGTGCACTTAAAGCTAAAAAACAATAACATGACTCTATAGTAAAGTTCAGTTCATGTACTCAATGGAGCAGGTATGACTGTACTAAACTATATCTGAACATGTATTCACAAGTCCCTCAGGGATCAATTTAAAATAGGAAGTTCTGTGTACTTCTTTTAAATAACTTTATGTATCTTATTTTAGAATATTAATACAAATGTAATGAGATTATATTTGAAATATTATAATGTGAAGGAATTAACTGTAACTCTTGTAAGCCAGAGTTACAAGATTATTGTATGTGAATCTAACAAGCCTATATAACCAAGGGAATATGAGCTTCCTTGACCCGAACGACTGCTTTCCTCATCCATGTGAATTGTTATCTTTGTGACCTAAGAGAGTATATGTTTGGAGCAACCAACGTTATTATGGCCATTAAAAATAAGTACAAACAAACAGAGTAAGTCCTAGCAGCAAGTCTCGAGGGATGGATAAAGTAAAAACATGTTGAACAATAGCCCCGATTTTTAATGAGGTTCTGTGGTTTATCAGAATCATGTGGAAGCACTGTTCCATCACACACATGCCCCCCACCACTTTGAGGAGACAGATTAGAACCAATGAATTCTTACTTGTTGGGCAACCAACAAACTATACCATAGTAGTAGGTAAAACATGGATCATACTCTTGACTCCAGGCTGACCAGATAAATTATCACAGAATAGGCTAACAAGCACCTTTCTGAAGGTGAAAGTTTCAGTGTAGTATCTCACAGCATGTCAGAGACATCAGATGAGTGGCAGCCACTGGCAGGCTCCAGACCCCCCAGGTCACCCAACATGGAGGACAAGAACAAGCTGTTGTAGGCCATAGGGCCAATGTCCCAATGACTTCTCAGATCTCTGTAAAATTATATAAGTTTTACAGAAAGATCTGCCAAGTTTGTGGATCATATAATAATAGTTAACAAAGTCAGAGAAGTATAAAACACACAGAAGTCATCTCAATGCCTGAAAGTATGGGAAGTGTCTAGTTTCCCTGGCAAAATACTACACAGCTCATGAAAAGCACTAATTATAAAGCCAGTGTAAGAACAGATTTAAATGTTTGAAAAACAATGTTAAAAAAGGCAGTATTTGTGTATTTTCAATTTTATAGGATTATGAATATGTAACATAACACACAAAGGGGCAAAAACTTCTTAGGGAAATTCAAAAATTGTCATTGGGCAATGGGACTCTGCATTTCTCCTTGCTGCTTTTTAGTTTTCTGAATTTTCATTAAAAAAAATTTACTATTACAATAAGACATTTTAAAACCATTCAAATAAATGACAAATTTAAAGGGACTGTCATGCTTTTTAAGTCTACTTTCTGATTCAAAATGCAACATTGATAACAGTTCCAGATTAGCCCTTTCAGAAACCAATTTAGATTGAGCATCCCTAATCTAAAAATCCAAAATCTGAAACTTTTTGACACCCAATATGACACCACAAGTAGAAAATCGCACACACAAATACTTCATAAGTACTTGATTCATGTACACAATTACTAAAAATATTACACAAAATTACCTTCTGGCTATGTAAGTAAGGTATGTATGAAACAGACATCTCCTTATGTATATTCAAATATACACAAATCCAAAAACATCCAAAATCCAAAACATCTCTGGTCCCAAGCATTTCAGGTAAGAGATACTCAACCTGCCTCCCCTACATTGCCATTCTGCTCCACAGAAAACAATAATAGTTTTTCCCCTATGTTGAGCATAAAACATGGAAGTAATACCTTTCAAAAGATCCCTGGACTTTGCTGAGAGGGCTTCTTCAGGGCTTTCCATGATGCTGAATATCCAGTCAATAAACTAGGGTAAAAATGAACAGCATCAATGAAGAGAATCCTACCATCAACAAGAGAACAGTTACGCGCACGAGCGCACACACACACAGGGTGATACTCCTGTCTCAGCCTCCAGAGTAGCTGGGATTACAGTTCTTAGACAATACCTTCCCCAGCTGGAGAAGATGAGACAGGGAGCAAGCATAAGATATGGTAAAGTTGGACACAGCTCCTATTTAAATGACCTGGCAAAGTCAAACCTACTTCCCCATTGAATACCCTGAGAGCTGAAACAGGTTTTAAGAGGGAGGCAGACATAGGCCCAGAGGGCCTCCTGTGTGCCAGGAACATCATCTCTCATCACTCCAAGGGAGCCAGAGAGATTAAAACCCTTGCTCAAGTCCACTTTCAATGTATAGCCAAGATGTGAACCCAAGTACCCCTGGCTTCAGAGCCCTATGCTCTTTCTTTGCAACATGCTGCCTCCCACCTGGTCCTGTGTGCAGCTTGGTCTAGGTTCCTAGGCTGGGCAGTAAATAGAGAACATGCCAGATATAGAACCCTGTTTCTGAAATGAAATACGTTGTGCCCACATGGGTATGAAACAAAGTTGAAATGCAAGAGAAAAGGCATAAAATAACTGACTAGGTAGAGCCAAGCATGTTAACCATGACTAAATCCTGTAAATGAGGTAGGAACTTACAGTATTTATGAGTCTGCCTGATCTCTCATGATGCAGTCACAATTGTTTTTGAATTAGATACAGGGTAATTTCATCAATGACTGAATGCTGCCAATCGTGGTTCATTAAAAGACATACACTGATGACAGGTAATAGGCATTTCAGCTTCACATACAGAAGCTAGGTTGAAGAAAGAGTAAAACAGGAAGAAAAAGAAAATACTCCTAATTTCCTGCTTTAATCAAAAGTTTTTTGTTGATTTTTTCTGTTTTGTGCTATAATATCTTACTGGTAAATAAACAAATCAAGCAATACAAATATATTAATCAATGCAAGAGGTCTACAGCATCATCCAAAGGGAACATGATATCCCAGTTCAGAAATAATGTGAGAGAAGACCACAATTTTTTTTTTTTTAAGACAGAGTCTTACTCTGTGACCTAGGCTGGACTGCAGTGGTGCAGTCTCGGCTCGCTGCAACCTCCACCTCCCGGGTTCAAGCAATTCTCCTGCCTCAGCCTCCAGAGTAGCTGGGATTACACGCGCATGCCACCACATCCATCTAATTTTCGTATTTTTATTAGAGATGGGTTTTCACCATGTTGGCAGACTGGTCTGGAACTCCTGACCTCAGGCGATCTGCCTCGGCCTCCCAAAGTGCTGGTATTCTAGGCATGAGCCACTGCGCCTGGCCCAAATTTGATTTTAAATGGCACATAAAGCACAAAATGTGGGGCAGCAATACTAATACTCATCAGATTTAAGAAAAATAAAAGGCATTTTAGTTGAGACACTTGGTGGAGTGTGCATAGCTAAACTGTGGGTCTATAGTTTAGAAATGTTTTTAAAGATGAACAGATTTCAAGAATAAGGAACAAATAGTTTTAAGCTTTTAACTTCATAAAAATCCAGTTTTGCTTAAATGAGATTCAAAAAAGAATCTTCCAACCAACTATATTAAGGACAGGTCAGAACCATGTAATGAGAAGTACAGTATTTTCACAAGCTTTGCAGAACAGCTAGTACCGCTGGGCAACCTCAGTATTAAAAACCAAAAAACGTTTTCTTCTGGGTCATATGCTTTAACAATTCAAAGTAACACATGTTAACTTACACAGCCCCCAACATGATGCAATGCCATCTTCCCCTTCACCCAAATCCTTCTCCTGCCCCACTCCCACTCCAAAAGAGGAACTAGACTGAACAGCAAACTAAACAATTTGGGATTTCCTGAGATCAAGGGTGATATTATTAGACCTTTACAAACCTCCATTTGGCATCTAGCATAGGCTGGATGCCTGGAGCATATCTGTGCAATGGAATAAACTATGGGGAACCTTAATGATGCTACAAGAAGACCAATGCTCCCGACCCACATTTCCTGGCAGAAAACTTCCAGACCTACCCAGACATTGTTGATCAACTCCCTCCCTGGCTCATCACCACTGCATCTTACTTATCACACCCTTTTCAGCCCTGAATTTGCCTTCCTGTCTGTCCTGACCTTGAGATTCTGAGCTCTGAAACATACTCATCCTGTCCTCCCCAGGATCAAGAAAGCATATGCCTTCAATGAATGAATGAAAGTATGGGCTTTTCCCTCCACCCCATCCCCAACTGTCATCAAGTTGCTGCCTTGTTGTTGTTTTTAATTAGTAGTTGCCCTGAGCCTGGGCTAGCCTCAATCTCTGAGATTCTGCATCTGGCTGAGATTTGGGGCTGAATAGGAAAGTCTGTGGTGTGATTCAACATGCACTTCACTCCCACATCCATACTACAGTAGAAACTGCTGAAGAGACAATGGTTGCCTGCCCTACTAAGCAGGTGGCTGCCAGCCTCACCTTCTGGGTCTGTTCCTTCCATGGCTCTTTCTGCAGCATCAGAGGCATGCTACTGGGAAGGAGAGTGAGAACCTCCTGCAGAGTGACCCTGTGCATTGGACTCCTGCCAAGGAAGCTTGGTGCTGGCCCAGCCAGCCCATTCTCCTGATGCCATGGCAACCAACTGGCACTGAGACCGAGGAGGAGAGGGGCAGCGTGGTCAGCCCAGGCAACCACTGCGGTTGCAAATATCAGCAACAAGAAGTCCAAAGCCTACGATGAAAATAGAAATGACGTTAGGTCATATGTTTCAACAGGTCAAAGTAACACATGTTCACATACACAGTCCCCATCGTAAGGCAATGATTTCTTCCCCTTCACCCAACCCATCCCTCCTGCCCTACCCCCATCCAGAAGAGGAACTGTACAGTAAACTCTTGTTTCCATGCTTAATGAAAAAACAATTTTGGGCATTAGAAGATTTTTGAGGTCCCTTTATATGAAGACAGAAGGCTCAACAGTTTCATTATTATTGTCTAACATTTCAGAAGAAACATAGTTTATTCAGTTCCTAATCATATCAAGATCTAAACATTCCTGTTTTGATGTTCTCAGAGAGCTTACAAAATGAAGAAATATTCATGGTTATGTGGACAAAACTAATTTTTAAAAATATGTATAGTCTGATTCCATTTTTGAGCATGTCTTTCTTCATTTTTTAAAAAAGTGTTTTAAGACATGGGTTCTCACTATGTTGCCCAGAGTGGTCTTGAACTCTTGAGCACAAGAAATCCTCCTGCTTCAGCCTCCCAAGCAGCTGGGACTATAGACATGAGCCATTGTGCCCAGCTTTTTCAGGCATTTAAAAAACCTGTCCAGGATCTATCCATTTAGATTTCAGATTAATCTAGACAATTATAGAAATGGTGATAACAGGAACCACCTCTGAGTAGTTGGATTACTATGATTTAACATACACTTCTTTTTGCTTATCTGTTTTTCTCAGTGTTTTAAGATTTTTACAAGAAAACAAGTTAATAAAAACTTAGGAAATCAGAAGAAAGAGGACAGATCATGCAAATTCAAAAAAACTTAAAAAGGTACTTCCTAAACTCTTAAAATTTCTAAACTCACAAATTAAAATTTCAAAATGACATACAACTCTTCAGAAAAACTGGCAGAATATCAAAAAACATCCCAGGTTATGCAAAAAAACTGGGCAGAATATCAAAAAACATCCCAGGTTATGCAAATTTGATTCACATAGTAAACAGGATACTCATGAAGCATGCTACAGACAAAAATTCTACTATTACAAAATGCACAGCTGCCAGCTAAGTCAACACAATGAAGGAAAGCACAAAAGAGCTGTCTTCATTTTATTTATTTGTCTTTTATTTTTAAACTCACCCAAACCTAATACTAGTGGTTCTTACTTTTTTTGAGTCATAGGTAATTTTGCAGGTGTGATAAAACTCCCCTTCAATATATATACACATGCACATAAGTATCGGCACACATATGGATTATTTGCATACACTTCAGAAACCTCTTCAAATCAGGAATTTTTAGCCATATGCTGGGCCGGTGTGGAGGCCAGAGCCTTATATTCCCATATCCTTTATGGGATTAGTCCCAGCTACATAGGAGCTTGGGTTCCCTCTCTCCCAAGTGTCCTTTGTGTTCTGCCTGTCAAGAAACATATTTTGTTGAAAATATTTCTCCAAGGGCAGCGTTGGGTGTCTCCAAGAGCTTGGTAAGATTCCCCATTTTTTTTGTGGCATTAGAGAATCATTAAGTGTGTCAAAATGAAAGAGGAAAAGGCAAGCTGCAAGCAGCAACATGTTCCTCTTTTGGGAGCGTATATATTAGGTTGGTGCAAAAGTAATTCCAGTTTTTTGCTGTAATGGCAAAAACCGCAATTACTTTTGCACCAACCTAATATAAGTTTTATATTTTAAGGAAGCTATAAACTACTTCTCTAGATTGTACCTCGTCAAGAGCCATATTCTGAACGGATGTTGACTGGTAAGCAACGTTTCTAATATAACCCATCAGTTCCAAGAGCCACTCCATTCTCTTCAAAACGCCTGAAATGAAAAGGGTATTTTCTTATTAGACCATGGTTTTCTTTGAAATGTAAAACAGATCAGTAACAACTATCATAACTGAAGCAGAACACCTGATGAGGATTCCATTAACCAGTTTCATGTTCCCTTGCAATACCCAAGACTTGTGACTGCCTGAGAGAGTTCTTTGACAATATTCATCAGATAACAATATTTTGGTCTTTAATTTTCAAAAGCCAATTTATTCTTTAAATCTCCCTGACCACTAGTGATAAAATGCATTTGTTGGAGTTTCCCTCTCAACGTCAAACATGCCAGGAGGAATCTGGCATGCCAACTAACGAGTCATGCTGAATTGCTGACAGTCGTTTTTATAGTTCTCCTTTGCTTACGTGTTCCCAATTTATGCCAAATCACAGAGGAAACCTAATCCAAAGACACATAAAATAAAAACAGCCACACTTCCATTATCAAAAACACTGATTTTTTTCCCTTTTAATTTTTTTAAAAAGAGGATTCCTAGCAAAGTAAAGACTACTTAAGATGAGTTTCAAAATTTAGGAAGACAAAAATGGGAACTACATTTGAGGGCTGGATGGTTCTGGTTAGAACCAAAGCCACCACCAAACTTATTTCAGTTTATTGGATGTAACTTCATGCTTCATTTGAAACCCTACTAGATTTCTTCCTGATAAATACATTTTTGGTTTAGAGTAAAAAATCCAGTTTCTCATCACAGGTTCATTTTTCAGTGGGCAGGCACTAATGCAGATAATAACTATTTCAAACTGCCACAGAGGACTATGAATTAAAATTTCTTTTTCTTTTTTTCTTGAGATGGAGTCTTGTTATGTTGCCCAGGCTGGAGTGCAGTGGCGGGATCTTGGCTCACTGCAACCTCTGCCTCCAGGGTTAAAGCAATTCTCCTGCCTCAGCCTCCCAGTAACTGGGCTGCACAGACGCCACCACACCTGGCTAATTTTTGTGGTTTTAGTAGAGACAGGGTTTTACCATGTCGGTCAGGTTGGTCTTGAACTCCTGACCTCAGGTGATCCGCCTGCCTTGGCCTCCCAAAATGCTGGTATTACAGGCGATACAGTCTTGCACAGTATTACAACCATGTTTGTCAGTTTTCTCTCAAAATCATAACAATACAAGAGATGGATGGGGAAAACCAGGCACATAAACTAAGCAGTTTGCCTAGAGTCACACAAGCTTCCCAGCTACATCTACCCTTCATGAGCCTGGTGCCATTCAGAACTTGAATGTAGCCTCCAAAAATTGTAAGCAACAAACAATGAACTGGGTAGAGCAATGTGGGAGCTGTCTTAGTCAGTAACTGTTAAAGTATAACATCTAAAATGGTCTAAAAATTGTATCATGTGATTCATTAGCAGAGCTTCAAGCTTGAGAATGTAGGTAGGCTGGCAGGATTTGCTTATTCTCACTCCAGAAAAGGTCTTCTGTAAAATAACTAGTTAATTTTTTTGTTTGTTTCTGTTTTCTCTTGTTTGTTAAGTGACTACCCAAGCGCCATTTTCATGAAATCATCAGGCAGAATCAATTGATACCTTGTGTGTTTGGAAAACTGAAGTTAGGCAGAAGCAGCTAACCTGTTTGTATGTTTGAGGGTCTACAGAGCCAAATACAATACAAAAACCATCAAAAGAATCTATCCTCATTTCCAAAAAGTGGATTTTGTGAGCTGTAACTGCTCATTTCCATCCAAGTTACTCCTCATTTGGCATCAGAAGGCCTAACCTGTGTCAACCAGCACTAAACTAATTTTTAAGTTGTGAACACAAATACTACTTAAAAGCAACAGCAGGCAGATCTATTCCTGTTTCTGATGTTCGCCCAGGGTGTCCTCACCCGTGTTGGCCTGGCTCACAATCCGTGCCTGGTATAAGCTCTGCAGAATCATCCAGGCCAGCAGCTCTTTCTCATGGTGCTGCACAGCAACACTCAGCATATCAGTCAGGTTCATCAAGGGGAATCGTCCTTGAGAGACTAAGTACAGTTTGACAAAGGCAGCCTTTTCTATGTTGCTCTGCAAAGAAAAAAAAATGTTTAGTTAACTGAAGTAGCTACAGCATTTCAGGGCAAAGGCAAAACAGAAATGGTGAGTTGGATGTTACTATTCTGTTCATTTCCCGAAGCACATGACCCATCTGCCTGTGTGCTAAATTAACACAAACATACAAAAGAGGGTTGTAATGCCAATCCTGCTCCTTCATTAAAACCATAAATCTGTAAAAATATAGTACTTACTATGTGCCAGGCATCACTCCAAGCACTTAACGTGTTAATTCAGTGGTTTTCAAAGTATGGTACACAGAATTTCTGTGGAACCCCAAAGTGCATAAGAGGTTCTGTGAGGTCAAAACTATTTTTATGTTAGCACCAAAGTGTACTAGTATTCATTATATATTGTACTGACATTTGTATTTTTTTAAAAGCCAATTTCACTTAAAATATCCTTGTTTAAGATAAAAATTACTAGTTCCATTAAAATTGGTCCTTGAGTAAATATTTTTAAAAATATTCTGTGGGACAAACTGAGAAACACTCAAAATAGACTTATTGCATACTCAAGTATGATGGTGGTCTCAAGACAAGGAAGAACACTTATAAGACGAGGCTGTGAAATAGCCACTCTTTTCATGGAACACCATTTACTTGAAAGAATAACTGATGGAAAAACTGTGTGGTTATTCAACCTGGGTATTTGCAAGATTAATCTCTGGAAATTGAAGGAAGTGAACCAGTCACTTCAAGAAAAATACTTGATAGTATCTGCTCCCAAATGATAAAATCTGAGCTTTCACGAGAAAATTAGATTTTTGGAAAATTTGTTTCTGCTTCTACGAGTCTGACAGCTTCCCAATATGTAAAAAGCTTTTCTGATTAGATAGGTAGTGATAGTAACAATATGATTATTTTATATTGCATAATAAAATGAATTAACATTTGGAAGATCTTCAAAACTCAGCGATTCAATATTTTCCAAATGACCAATTTATGGTATCAGAAAACCACGTAGGGGTAAAACACTGAAAGTGCAAAACACACCAGTGGAATTTAATGTAACAAAGTATATGAGGTTCACTGATACAGTTTCAGATTCTACAATGCAACTAACCTTTAAGAATCTACAAGTTGCTGGCCAGGTGTGATGGCTCACGCCTGCAATCCTAGCACTTTGGGAGGCTGAGGCAGGAGGATCACTTGAGGTCAGGAGTTTGAGACCAGCATGGCCAATATGGTGAAACCCCGTCTCTACTAAAAATATAAAATTAGCCAAGCACGGTGGTGGACACATGTAATCTCAGCTACTCTGGAGGCTGAGGCAGGAGAATCACTTAAGCCCAGAAGGCAGAGGTTGCAGTGAGATGAGATTGTGCCACTGCATTCCAGCCTTCAAGTGAGACTCAATCTACAAAAAAAAAAAAATTAAATGCAACCATTGTGGAAGACAGGGTGGTGATTCCTCAAGGATCTAGAAAGAGAAATACCATTTGACCCAGCAATCCCATTACTGGGTATATACCCAAAGGATTATAAATCATTTGGTTATAAAGACACATGCACACATATGTTCATTGCAGTGCTGCTTCCAATAGCAGACTTGGAAGCAACCCAAATGCCCATCAACCATAGACTGGATAAAGAAAATGGGGCACATATGCATCATGGAATACTATGCAGTCATAAAAAGGATGAGTTCATGTTCTTTGCAGGTACATGGATGAAACTGGAATCCATTATTCTCAGCAAACTGACACAGAAACCAAACACCCGTGTTCTCACTCATAGGCAGATGTTGAACAATGAGCACACATGGACACAGGGAGGGGAACATCACACACTGGGGTCTGTTCGGGGGTGGGGAACTAGGGGAGCAATAGCAGGGGGTGGGGAGGTTGGGAAGGGATAATAGGAGAAATACCTAATGTAGGTGATTGGGAGATGGAGGCAGCATATCACCCTGGCATGTGTGTACCTATGTAACAATCATGCAAGATCTGCTCATGTACCCCACAACTTAAAGTATAATAAAAAATAATAAAAAGGAACTAAAAGTTGTTGAGTTTTTTGGTTGGTGAAATATAAAAGAAGGATATCCATACTTGTGTGAAAAGACTATTAGCATATTTTCCCCTTTCCTCCTGCATAGCTGTGTGAGACTGAAATTCCTTCACATACGTCACCAAAATAACCTCACAACAGATGGAATGAAGAAGCTGCCACGAGAATCCAGTTGTCTTCTGTCAAGCCAGACATTAAGGATATTTACAAAAATGTAAAACAATGCCACTTTTCTCACTAAATTTTTATGCTTTAATTTTTTTTATTAATCATGTTAATATATAATGGGTTTCTTATTATTGCTTTTCAGTAAATATTTTAAAATTTTCCAACAGATAAGACCCTTATAATTAGAAGCTCTTTGGAATCCTCAATAATGTTTAAGAAGCTAAAGTGTTCCTGAGACTAAAACATTTGAGAACTGCTGCACTTATTTACTAATTCTCACACCAACTCTCTGCAGTAAATCGCTATTATCATCCCACCTTTACAGATGAGGAAACTGAAGCACAGTGGTTAAGCAACTTGCTTAAGGTCACATAGCTAGAGGTGGCACAGCAAGAAACAAAACTGAGGGAGTCTGTGTTCTCTACCACTATCTTATTCTTACCTCTATTATTTTCAGAAACAAATATAAAACCCTGACCTTGCTGAAGTGAACTCTTTTGGGGATATCAGAACACTACTTAGTATGTTCCAGTGACAATGTTCTGAATGGAATTTTAGGTAAAAATTCAAGCGAGTAACAGCAACCTTCAGTTCTAGGTACTAAAAAGTAAATGACATACTTTATTTCTAGTTATATTACATGAAAGTAATAGGATATAATTTGTTACACATATGTAATAACTATGACAAAAAATAATTACTGAGTCCTTATCTTGAGCCAGGCACTATTCCAAGTACTCAGCATGGACTAGCTCACTGAACTCTCAAAACAGCTCTAAGTCGTAGGTGTTATTGTCTCCCTTTTATAGATGAGGGAACTGAGGCAGTGAGCTTATGAAGCTTACGAAACCAAGATCGCACTGCCAGTAAACTGCAGAGATGGATTTCAGACTGCAGCAGTGAGGCTCCAGAGTCAATCCTCTTAACTATTTCCTTCTGTTGCTTCTGCTTGCTTGAAACAAGCTAACCTCCAAAATGTTTATATTCTAAATATTCTTTAACAGTGGTTTTCAAACCTTAGGATAGACCAGAACCACCTGGAGATAGACTCCTGGGCTCCACCTCCAGAGTTTCTGATTCAGTTGTCTAGATGGGGACTCCAGAACTCGCATTTCTAATCAGTTCCCAGGTGATGCTGATGCTACTCATGCCATGACCACATTCTGAGAACCACTGCAATATGATGCAGAAATTCAGAAGTGACATAAATGACATAAAGTCCACCAGCTATGAGGGAGCTCACAGTTCTCTAAACCATTGGTATTAGTTGGTATGCAAAGTTGCCATTCAAATACAAGTGTGTTATTTGGGATGTACTTTTACTAAGAAATGATTCATTATTGATCTGCAACGCAAATTTAACAAAATATCTTGTATTTTATTTGCTAAATCTGGCAACTTTACTGATATGCTTTTTGCTTATTTGTCATTTGACTTGGGCATGGGTGTAGGAGATAAATTATCCTGTGTCAGGGTTAATAGTGCTTGCTTTTCAATCAACCACCATCTTCATTCCAAAGGATAGGATCAGGTGAAAGACAAAGTGGGAGAAATTGAGTTAAAAAGTTATTCATCCATCTATTCATCCATACAACATTTATTAAGCACCAACCATATGAGGAGACTGAACAAGATGCTCAACAGTGACAATGAAATATAGTTTCCTGAAATTAACCAATAACGAAAATGAAGCAAAACTTGTTTCAGCCAAAAGGACACTGAAACCAATTCTTCAATTGTAATTTCTGCCTCAATAATGAAAAAAGCTATAGAGAGAGATGTTATTACCTTAGTAACCTGGGTGACCCGAGTGGCATCGTCATCTGTCATTTCTGAGAGGCATTTTGCTATGCCAATATATAGCTCTAGATCCTTTCTCTGATAAAGAAAAATCCCAAACATGTCAACAGTGTAAAATAACGGGTCTAAATGTTCTGACAAATTGTTAGATTTTTCTTATCCCCATGAACGGCAGCTGATGAGATTTTAATTTTAACCAAACCAAAACATTTGGCCAAATTTTACCACTTTGAAGACATCTTTCCTATTACTCTGTATAATTTTTTAGCTATATTTTTTCTCCTTATCAAAATTGCTTCATCCCAAATAAACTTCTAATCTCTTTGTAAAACTACAATTCAGATGTCTTTTGGGGGAGGGGAAGGGCTGATGCTAAATCATTTTATATAATCAGTATGTGAGAAAACATGCCCAAGGATTCTCCAGGTGTAAAGTGTAAGAACTTTTGAGCTTTCTCGTTGTCTAGAAGAGGCATTTAGTAAAAAGGACTAATAGCAAATTTCCTGGTGCAGCACTGGTTAAACTGCTTCTAAGCTTGCTCAAAACTTTGGTTCTAAATATTCAACCTCAATTTAGATCTTGGAAACAAACACACTCCTAGTAACAAATGTGGTTATTTCTTGCTAGCCTTCCCACCCACATTCTTAAAACATACACCTCCCAGTTTGCCAAAAAGCCTTTAAAAGATCCCAAACATAAATTGTCAGGAATGTAAATATTTTTGTTCCTCACCCGAATCTTATTTGGCAGGAGATCAAAAATTTTCCCAGTAGCTTCACAGAGCAGACTCCAGAGGTGGTGGGCAGGGCTGGGTAGTTTCATGGCCTGGCTCAGACCCTGTAAGGCACTTGGGCACAGCTCAGGATTTCCAAGTGGGGAAGCTGCTTTAAAAACTGCTAGCATTAAATTTTCAACAAAACCCAGGATCTGTTCATCAGAGACGTGTTTTAACCAGAGTGGTGCAGATACCAGGAGATATCTCTTGATATCCAGCTGGAAGTAAAACAGAAGAGGTTTAATGTAAACAGGCAAGTCTGGGTTTGCAGTGTTCAAAACCTGTAGGTCATCACTGTGTTTGAGGGTAGACTGAGAGATAAAAGCTTCAGGTAACTCCCTTCCCCCTTCATTTTCTCAGAGCTTCATGGTACAGTGGGCCACCAATGCATGTAATTTTGGCTGCTGCAGTTACTTCTGATCCAGGGTGAATCATGTGTTTATTTGGAATCTGGCAATCCATCTGTGAACTACTCAGCTTAAACCTTCAATCTTTTCAGTGATGGGAATAAAATGCTACTTCTGAAAGTACATGACAGTTACTTTTCAGTTTTAAAAGGTCACATTCTCTGGCAAGAAAAGTTGATGAAAGGCTCATTTGCTGAAAATCAAGTAAACAGAGCATCGGATATTATTAATTTCTTCTTCTGAGAAAAAATAAGTCATAAGGAGAAGCGACATGCTGGGACCATTTATGACCAGGAAAACCACCAGCTGAGCATATAGAACTGACCAGGTACCTTAGAGTTCACGAGACCCAAGCAAGGGCATGTTAGTAATAGCTCTGTTATGTGACAGACTTTAACCGAGTGGGTTTCAAAAACTCTTAGGAACATAAGCATGCTACTAAAGGGGCAACAAGACTAAAACAAGTGATCTAAAAATAAAATCTGGCAAAATAAATGATCTAAAAAAAAATCTAGCAAAAACATGTTTTGTGTGTGGTTTTTTTTTTCCAAGATTGCACACAAAAGTAGGGGAGGGACAGAGGAATAATTTTTTCTGCAAATTTCTGAAAAGATCGTTGTAGTTGCGTGAGTTTTCTCAAGACCTCATTTTAAAGAATATACCATCTCAGATCATTTTATACTTAAGAAAATGATTTCAGAAACTTAATTTGTTAATTAACCAGGATAACAATAAAGATAATCAAAGACAAATGCACAGAGTAGCACAGAGGTAAAAGATAAATGAAAGGATAAGTAAAATTTAGAAAAATTTCAGAGGTCAACCGAACAGGCTGGATATAGGTCTGATTCAAAAGGAAGGCCTTAACACAATAGGGCTTCAAAGTCAGATACCTACAGCTCTCTCATTTATTAGCTAGGCCAACTTTGCTTGACCTCCATTTGCCTCAGTTTATAAGTCTTTTAAAATGGAAATAATAAAACATCTCTCTCAGACATGAAACAAGACATACATAGAAAAACTTCGTTTTACATAATTCCATTCTAAAGAATTTCTAAAATTTATATGAAATTTAAATTTACATAAAGCTTATTTTAGAAAGGCAATATGACAGAAAGCAGATCAGCGGTGTTTTGGGTCTGAAGCTGGGAATGGGGATTGACTACAAACAAGCACCATGGACTTGTCAGGTGATGGAAATGTTCTTGGTGATGACTGAAAAACCTATAAAGGTACTAAAATTCACCACATTTTACACGTAAGACAGCCATATTTTAGGGTACATAAATTATAACACAACAAAGCTATTTTAAAAATTGTCCTGACAGGCTGTAGGGAAATTAAGTTTGCCTTCTGTAAGTACTCACTGAGTGCTTGCAGGTACCAGGGGCACAGCCAGGACTCAGTAAGTGGCAGGCAGTTGGGAGCCACTTGGAGCAGACAGTTGGAGTGAAGTTAATACCTGACAGAAAGGATGCAGACCTTGATAACATCCACCTTCAATTAAAGACAATGAGGAGGAGTAGGAAAGGCTTAAAAAGACAAAATACAGGCCAGAAGTGATGGCGCATGCCTGTAATCCCAGTATTTTGGGAAGCCAAGGCAGGCAAATCACTTGAGGTCAGGAGTTCGAGACCAGTCTTGCCAACTTGGTGAAACCCTGTCTCTACTAAAAATACAAAAATTAGACAGGCATGGTGGCACACACCTATAGTCCCAGCCACTTGAGAAACTGAGGCTCAAAAATCACTTGAACCCAGGAGGCAGAGGTTGCAGTGAGCTGAGATCATGCCACTGCACTCCAGCCCAGGCTGTGGAGCAAGATTTTGTCTCAAAAACAACAAACGCAAAAACAGTGCAGAATAGAGACAAAGGCCAAGAGGCTGCGGAAATGATAAGAGGGCTTTGCACTATTCTCAAACAAAGCCTCCTAGGACAGAAGAATAGGCCACATTATGGAGACAATTAAAAGATGACAGCATTTAAGTTACATCAACTGGTAAACCTCTAAATAATCATGGAATATGTTTTTCTGTTCTAGCTTGAAACACACTCAAAATTATGCATCTTTACTAACTTTATATCTTTAAACTCTCTTGCCCTATTCTTATCTGCACTTGGCCTAGACATGAAAGGTGCTAGTCCCCTCTAACACAAACACCAGGCTGGGTCATTTCTTTCTCAACACTTTGCTCAAGCTAAACAGCCTAGTAGAGATCTTTCACTCTCTCCACCTACAGCCCCTGGTCCACCTGATGTGATACTTAAACCAAATCAAGGCTCACCTTAATTGCTGTCTTCTCTGGGAAAGGGAAAGGATAATATATGGATGAGTCTAGTACATATGGATTTCCTTTCTCTTAATATGTACTGAAATAATTACATATACCATATAATCAAATAAACGTAAGTTCAAATAATTCCACAACTTTCTAGCTATATGATCTTGAGAAAGGAACTTTAATACCACCAATCATCTTTTTCCACTTTTTGTAATAAATGGTAGCTAAAGCATGAATGGTAATGGCTTTGGCAGGTTGCGAACTATATAATTTTCCAGTGTGCAGGCCAGCTACTATCGAGCCCTTAATTTTTGCAAGATCTCATCAGCCTCCTCTAGACTTTGAGAACACAAACCCAAATGAACATTAATCTCCTCCAAAACAACAATATCCTCCTGTAGGCCAACAGCCTTAGTTACTACATACACTCAGACTGTGGATCAGTGGTGGCGTCACCCACAAGCCCAAAAGTGCAGCTGCATTCTGGGATGACTGTGCCTGGGTCACCATAATTTCAAGGCACAACTGCTGGATCTCTTCACCTGAAAGGCAAGAAATGAGAAGAATGTGAATATACAGTTACTTCTCTGAGTCATTTTCAGGCTTTAATATCTCATATCAAAGCATCTGCTATGTGACTTTTTCAGGTAACAGAACTTCAGTAAACCAGAAGAGATATTATAAGAGACTTGTTAGTTATGAGGCCAAATTACACGTCCAATGGCATCACAGTCCCAAGTCTTATAACTAGCAAAGGCCTTCAACTAGGTAGGGGAATTTCTTTTATGATATCCAGAGGAACCTACACACTCACACACTAACTAAAATGTGAGACAATTCTAGCTAATAATCTCTTGATCTCTGTTTTTCCCATCTCTCCCTCTCCTATGCAGAGCATAAAATAATATATCAAGGTGTAGAATGGCTTAAAGATACATCCACATTCTCTAGTGATCAAGTCTTTCTAATAGTCTGATTTCAATCAGCACCTTATTTTCCTTCCTTTTTCTAAGGACTTAACTGAAACACAAACATTTCAATATAGCGCACAAAAGTAGGGGAGGGACAGAAGAACACATTTTCAGTGAAATCTCTGGAAACAGAGTATGATGACATTGTATCTTACACAGAGATTAGGTTTATATGAAAGCATTTAAGTGAAGAATTGTGTATAGTCAAACTTACCTTTATCTTTAAAACTGAACATAAAGTATAAAAGTTGTTTTGTACATATGTAAGTGTGCACTCTACTAAATGATAGACCACTCATGGCAGGCACACACAAACACACACTATTTTACAACACTGTTTACATTGTTCTTCTTCCCTACTTCTTATTTTATTTTTACTTTTAGAGTTAGGGTAGGGAAAAAGTACATTAAATTATATTTGTGTAACTCTATTCTGTATAAAAGAGGTTACTATGGATAAATTGGAGATGTTGAGGTGTGCATTCCCTTTGCCGCTCACCACAAAATAACTGTGGTAAGCAGAATAATGGTCCCCAATAATGTCCACATCCTGATCCCTGGAACCTGCGAATACACCACCTTATATGGCAAAGAAACTTTGCAGATACGATTAAGGTTAAGGCTCTTGAGATGGAGAGATTATCCTGGATTATTTAAGTGAGCCCATTAATCACGAGTCCTTCAAGGTGAAAAACATTTCCTGGCTACAGAGAACCAGAAAGATAATAGTGTGAGAAACCTTCCCCCTCCATTGCTTGCTTTGAAGATGAAGAAAGGGGGCCGCAAGTCAAAGAATATGGGTAGCTTCTAGAGGCTAGAAAAGGAAATGAATTCTCCCCTAGAACCTCTAGAAAGGCATTCTGCTCTGCTGATATCATGATCTTAGTCCGGTGAGAAACATTTTGGACTTCTGGCCTATAGACTTGTAAAGATAATACATTTGTGTTGTTTCAAGCCACTGTGGTAAGCTGTTATAGCAGCAATAGAAAATTATACAGCATTCCATATCGTACTTCTCGAAACCTGGGGCTCTGGAAGTGCAGTTTGATAACCACAAAGCCAAGCTTAATGGAACCTGTACCACATTCTCAGCAGTATGCACACCTCAGTCAAGCATTGTTTTTGGCAGGTGTATCTGGTCTGTGTCTTTAGACCTCTTCTTCCTCACCTTAAGAAGCTCAATGACCCAGTGAAAGTAACACAGCCATCCCATCCAACTTGACAAATGTCAAGATCTGAAAAGTCTATCAAGTCACTACACAATGTGACACAGAATCTGTTTTTCCATTCAAGTCAAATCCTAAAATTAAAGTCAGAAGACCTAACAACACATGATATTTACCAAAATTCAGCCTCATAAGTGGAGAGAGAAGTGCAGCCCAGTTCACAGGAGGATACTGGTAGCTTTCTCCAACAGTGGCTATGGGTTTCATCACTACTTTAAGAAGGGAAGGAGGCACAGATTCAGGACCTGTAACAGAACGGGAAAAGTAATAGTAAAACACCTGCATAGCATCATGGAAGGGGAAATGCCAACAATTCCTTCCTTCTTCTAGTGGCAAAGGATCCGATATCATCTTCAACTGTGATCAAACCTTCAATTCTGTGCTCTTAATTTCAACTCCATTTACCAGAAAACCTTGCTCCTTCTGTTCTCTTTTTAAAAAGTTTATAAATTTCTCATTGATATATAACTGTATATATTTATGGAGTATAGAGTGATATCTCCATACATATGTGCAATGAACAAATCAGGGTAAGTAGCATATCCATCATCTCCAATATTTATCATTTCTTTATACTGAAACATTCAAAATTCTCTTTTCTAGCTGTGTGGAAATAACAATTATTATTAACTATAGTCACCCTACAATGCTTTAGGACACCAGAACTTATTCCCCACATAAAAAATGAGAATTTATTCCTCATTTTGTTTGCTTTAATCAACCTCTATTTATTGCCCCATCCTCTTCCTCTTCCTAACCTCTAGTAACCTCTATTCTATACTCTCTACCTTTATAGAAGATCAACTTTCTTTGGCATCACATATGAGATCAACATTTTTAGCTCCCACACACATATGTAATATTTATCTTTCTGTGGCTGGCTTGTTTCACTTAACTTGAGTTCTCCAAGTGGCCATAAATGACATGATTCCATTCTTTTACTTGTCTATAGTCTTTCCTTTTTCTCTGGATAAAACATTTTCCACACTGCTGATTAGCTATACTCTGCACGCTCTTGTCTTTTTATCTAGTTTTCAAAATTAAGTAACTTCTATTACATTATTACCTCACTGCTCACTCACTCCTTAATCTCCTTCCAGCAGAGAGGACAAGAACTGCTCACTCACATACATTCCCTTCTAAGGACTACAGATTACCTAGTCTCTGTGGTGCTAGGCTGCATTATGTACTATGGGAGTCTCTATTTTTTCTGCTTCCCAGCCAGTGCCATGGTGATCGTTCTAGAAGGGAGCACCTAACGGCTGTGTAACAGCTAGTCCATCAGTTAACCAGATGCCTATGACATGGTACCATTACTTCAATATCATATTCCTTTTTTTTAATGGACTGTGTATACAGTAATAAGATATTAGAAAACAGTTAGTGGAGCATTTGTGAGTGGAAACATAGGGTGCAGTCAGAAATGGAATAGCCATTAAGGGCCATGTAAAAGTGAAGCTATGAAGAGGTCATAAACAGTATAGCACATTAAAATGTAGAAGACCAAGGAGAAGTAAACGCAGCACGATCAACATTGGCAGCAGAAAGGAAATTATCATCAGCAGAAAGAGAAGCAGAATCAACAAAAGGAAAAGCAGAAGAAGCACGATCAGCAAATAAAGCACCTGGATCAGATGATGATGAAAAAGGAGGAATCAGAAGTGGAAGTAGAGTCAGCAAAAGGAAAAACACCTTCAGAAAAGAGAAGCATAGGAAGGAGAAGCAGAGGCAAAGTCATCAGAAAAAGTAGCAAAATCAGTAGATGCTGAAAGATGGAAGAAGCAGATGTGGCACCAGAGTTAGCAAAAGTGAAAACAGCAGCAGAGAAGAGAAGCATAGGAAAAAGGAGAAGCAGAGGCCAAATCAGCAGGTGCTAAAAGGGGGAAGCAAGAGTCAGCAGAAGAAAAAGAAGCTGCAGAAAGGAGAATCAGGAAAAAGGAGAAGCAGAGGCCACATCAACAGATGCTGAAAGAAGGGGGAAGCAGGGCAGAGTAAGCAAAAGTGAAAACCGAAGCTGAAATGAGAAGCACAGGAAAAAGGAGAAGCAGAGATCAAATCAGCAGATGCGAAAGGGGGAAGCAAGAGTTAGCAGAAGAAAAAATAGCTGCAGAAATAAGAAACACAGGAGAAAGGAGAAGCAGAGGCCCTATCAGCAGATGCTGAAAGAAGAGGGAAGCAGAACAGGGCAAAGTCAACAGAAGGTAAAATAGCTGCAGAAAGGAGAAGCATGGTAAAAAAAAAAAAAAAAAAAAAAAAAAAAAAAAAAAAAAAAAAAGGAGAAGCAGTGGCAAAATCAGCAGATGCTGAAAGATAGGGGAAGCAGAAGTGGGGTCAGAATTAGCAAAAGTGAAAACAGCAGCAGAAAAGAGAAGCATAAGAAAAAGGAGAAGCAGAGGCCAAATCAGCAGATGCTGAAAGATGGGGAAGAAGAAGTGGGGTCAGAGTTAGCAAAAGTGAAAACAGCAGCGAAGAGAAGCCTAAGAAAAAGGGGAAGCAAAGGCCAAACCAGCAGATGCTGAAAGAGGGGGAAACAAAACAGGGCAAAGTCAGCACAAGGTAAAATAGGTACAGAAAGGAGAAACATGGGAAAAAGGAGAAGCAGAGGCCACATCAGCAGATGATGAAAGAAGAGGGAAGCAGAACAGGGCAAAGTCAGCAGAAAGCAAAATAGCTACAGAAAGGAGACACACAGGAAAAGGGAGAAGCAGAGGCAAAATGAGCAGAAGCTGAAGAAGGAGGAAGCAAAAGCAAAGCAGAATCAGCAGAAGTAAAAATAGCTACAGAAAGGAGAAACAGGGAAAAGGAGAAGCAGAGGTAAAATTAGCACACTGAAAAGGTGGAAGATGAAATAAGGCAGAGTAGCAGAAGGAAAAATAGCTGCAAAAAAGGAGAAACATAGGATAAAGGAGAAGCTATGTGGAATCAGCAGAAAAACTAACAGAATCATCGGAAGCTAAAAAAGAGAAACAGAAGCAAAATGAACAGATACTCAAAAATCAGACAGAGAAAACAAAATGAAAAGCAACAGAAAGCAGCACAGGAGAAAAGAAGTACATGCAGAATTAGCAGGAAAAGCAGAATAACTGGAAGCTGAGAGAGAGAGATCAGAGAGAGAATCAACAAAAGGAAAAAAAAAGTAACAGCTAAAAATGGAATAGCATTGGAAAAAGGAGAAGCATATAAAAATGGGAAAAGAACATGGATATTTTCCCAAAGATGATACTCAAATGTCCAACAAGCATATGAAGATGCCCAATATCACTAATCAGCAGGAAAAAAGACAAACCAAATCAAAATCACAGTGAGATATCACCCCATACCTAATAGAATGGTCCTTAAAAACAACAGCAACAACAATACCAGAAAATAACAAGTGCTGGCAAGGATACAGAGATACTACAACTTTTATGTACACTTGGTAGAATTATCAAATGGTACAACCACGATATAAACAGTATGGCAGTTCCATAAAAAATTACACATTTTATGTAAATATAAAATTATAACTAGAACTACCATATAATCCAGCAACCTCACTTTTGGGCATATAGCCCAAAGAAATTGAAAGCAGGATCTTGAAGACATATTTGCAAACCCATGTTCACAGCAGCATTATTCACAATAGCCAAGTGGTAAAAGCAACCCAGATGTCCACTGATGAAAGAATGAATAAACAAAATTAGTATATACATAACACGGAATATTATTCAGACTTATAAAGAAAGAAAATCATGTTACATGCTATAGCATGGATGAAACTTAAGGCCATTACACTAAATTAGTCACTCACTTAAAAAAAGTATGATTCCATTTATGTGAAGTACTTAAAGTAGTCAAATTCACAGAAAAAGAAAATAGTATGGTGGTTATCAGGGGCTAGGGAGAGGGATGGTGAAAAACAGAGTTATTGTTTAATGGCTATAGAGTTTCAGTTTTCTAAGATGAAAAAGTTCTAGAGCTCTGTTTCATACTAATATAAACATATATTCACATTAACACTACTGAACTGTACACTTAAAAATGGTTAAGAGGGTAAATTTTATGTTATGTACTTATCAACACAGTTTTTTTAAAAAAAGAAGATCCATATTCAGAAATAGCAGAATTGCTAGAAACTAAAAAAAAATGTAGAAGCAGAAGTGGTGAAAGAGTATTTCTTAAAATTTTTGCTTTTCTGAGTACATAGTAGGTGTATATATTTATGAGGTACATGAGATATTTTTATATAGGCATGCAATGTGTAATAGTCATATTATGAAGAAAAGGCAGAATATTTTTTGTTTTCCTTTTTTGACATCTGGTGTTCAAGGAAATCTCCATCAGACACTAGCTAATCACTGGCTACAAGAATAGAGCTTTCAGAAACAAAGAATACAGACAAGCCTTACAAACACAATTTTGACAAGTCACTAAAGTCACCACAGCAAGAAACAAAAACAAATAATGAAGAAAAGAAACCATCTAATACTCCAAGTTACTCTGTTATAACATCCAAAATATTCCATTTTCAAAGTTCAGGAGCTGGATGATGGTGAGAGTTGCTTAATTAATGCTTAATGTCACAAACTATCACATTAATGCTTAATGTCATAAAATTGTACATTAAAAAATATAAATTTTATGTTATATATTTCACCACAATATTTTGTTAGAATAAAACTGAATTTTAACAGACATTCAAAAATGTCCAGTTTTCAAAAAAAAATGGAGCATAAAATGAAACAAGGAAGCTTTGTCATTTCACAGAAGAAATTAACAGAAAATGTCCCAGAGAAGGCAAAGATATTAGACTTACTAGACCAAGACTTGAAATCAACTGTCCTAAATATATTCTGCTAAAGAAAATTATGGACAAAGAACTAAAAGAAACCAGGAGAACAACACAAGAAAACAAAAAAAGAGTATTAACAGAGAGTTCTTTTTTAAAAGAACCGAACAAATTCTAGAGTTCTGTACTATAAAAAGTACAGTAACTGTAATGAAAAACTCACTAGTGTTTAAATAGCAGACTTGAGCAGGCAAAACAATCATCTCACATAAAGATATGTCAACTGAAATCACTCAGTCTACAGAGAAGGAAAAAAAGAAGAAAAGTGTGAACAGAGCCTGAGGATACATCAAGCATACCAATGGATGCATAACAGTCATTCCAGAAGGACAGGAGAGAAAGGGGCAGAATGAATATGTGAAAAAATAATGGCCAAAAACGTCTCCAATTTAATAAAGACACAAATCCATACATTCAAG